CGAAATATAGATCTGTATTTTAATCAGATTGGGGTATGTGGAAAATGTTTTTTTTACATATGGTGTAAAGCAGTTTCTGAAACTTTACTTCAGCTTTTTTTAACAAAAATTTTTCAAGTTTTATTTTTAAAAAGATTTTGACTCAAACAGCAAATTATTTGTTAATTGTTATGTAGAAATTTGAATTCCGTATTCTTAAAAAAATTAAAGATGTATGCCTGTGATCACTATAATTTATTTTGTATTTTTTTTTTTTTAATTCAGTCCCATATAAATATTATGATAGATAAAGTCTAATTAATTTTAAGAGTTCTAAGCCCTCCATGATATCAACATTCAAACCTCAAATTATAAAAAATCACAAAATATATTTTCTCAACAGTTGGCGTTACCGTGGATTAGAAAACCAATCCAAGCCATCACTGGCGGACGCTGTCCAATAATAAATATATTAATAAACGTTACATCTTTCTGGAAAACAGCTACTAAAATATTTAGCTATATTAGCTTGAAGGAGGGCCTGACAAGAACAGCTGTCTAGTTATTCGGATGGGATGAAAAACCAAGGTTCCATGTACACATTGGCATGCGCGCTAAAGATCCCTTGGCAGTTGGTGTTTGATATGGTAATTCAAGTCTTGGCCTCGCCTCTCCATTTTTAAATTAGGTTCTAATCTACTGGTACTTAAAATCTGAGCTGTCCAATGGCATCAAGAGTTAATTGTGGACTTGTCATGCCCGTTTAAATATATTATTAGCTGTTTTCCATAAGTATGTTATAGTTCATCCAGTTATTAAATGCCTCTAAAAGATACATCAATTTATTGTAGGGTTATTAACCAACTTAAGTCTAAATTTGATGTTCCCCCAATCTGATTAAAACACAGATCCTAGTTCAAAATTTCCTTTTATTTGTCTTTACTACACTGGGATCTGGAAAAGTTGTTATATAACCTGCGTTCTGGTTGATGTGAGGGATTAACCAATGAAACGATCTGTTAGCGCGAGTTCTTGGACGGAACTGTGGGAATCCCACTAGAAACATCAGCGCTGATTGGTTAATCAAACGTTTAATGTCATAGGGTCAAAAGCTGCTCGTATGATCCCGGACAGGACCTTCCACTACAACCGGTCAGATTTTCATGTAGTGCAGGCCATCAAACGTATAAAGATAACGAAATGAAATATAGATTTGTATTCTAATCAGATTGATGTTCCTCTGGCCATTATAATACGCTTAGATATAAAACACATTGAGAGGGTAGAAAAAGTTGGTTCAATTATTTTCATGGGGTAATATCTTTCTAAGTTATGAAAACCAAATGAAATAAAATGAAATAGGATTTAACGTCTTACTGTTCTGCTCCTAACTGGGCCAATGAAGACGGGCATACGCAAACCGGGTTCTATGAGGGAAATTTTTGCCCGGACAGAGGCACTATGGCCTACTCTTATATCGTATTCCAACTGTCAAGGGATCTTTTACGTGCACGCCTATGTGTACAAGGGACCTTGGTTTTTCGTACCTTCCGAACGACTAGACAGCTGTCCTTGTCAGGCACTCCGTTTATGAAAACATTTAAAAATAACTGTTTCTATCAATCTAATTGTAAAGTGGCTTGACTAATAATTACTAATTTTTTTTATTTTTTAATTTAAAAAAGAAATAATGGCAAATGTATAGAGTTAGAATCAGAATTCTTTTAAAAATGATTGAATTTACAATTTGAATATTTGATGTGTTATTTTGTATGTGAGACAGCTTGTTAATACATGTATGATTAATTTATTAATGGATCTTTGTATCTCAAATGTTCGAAGAAAATGTATTTATTAAACAATTTCATATAATTTATTGTTGTTTTTAATTATTTTAGGTTGTAGAGACAGGGACCTAACTAGCTCTGCGCAATGAGGGGGGCGGAAAGTGTTCTTGGGGGTGCTGTAAAATTGACGGACAATGTTTATTTAGGTGGTTTTTTTCACAAGGGGGGGGGGGGCAAACATTTTGCAGCCCCCCCCCCCCCCCAGTTATGGGCCTGTGTAGAGATGATGACTGAAATGAAAGAAATGAAAGAGAGAGAAAAATGGGGTTTAACCTCCACTCGACACAAATTATTGAACCATGTTAGTCCCGAAATGACCTAGTTTGTGTCGAGTGGCCATACGTTAGAATTCCAACTGTCAAGGGTTTTTTTTTATGTGTGGGAGCCACGGTGGCTAAGTGAGTAAGACGCTGGCTCCCAGCCTTGGCCCGAGAAAGTTTCCCCTTGTCACTGGTGCAGGACGGAGGGCCTGACAAGGACTGCTGTCTAGTCATTCCGATGGGACGAAAAACTGAGGTCCCGTGTATACATTGGCATGCACATAAATGATCCCTTGGCATTTGGAATTCAATATAAGAGTAAGCCATAGTGCTGCTGCTCGAGCAAAATTTCCCTCATAGCACACTGTGTGGGGTATGCCTGTCTTCATTAATAGGAGCAGAACAGTAGGACGTTAAATCCCATTTCATTTCATTTATTTTACATGTACAATCAATCTCATTTTTTTATCCCATCTGAACAACTAGACCCTGTTCATTGCCAGGTTGACTGACCTGCATAACTGTCGTGGGGAAACCACCCCGGAAAGAGAGGAGAGGTAAGAAATAGAGTTTATTTATGTGTGTAATGATAGGATAATGAATTCCCCCCACTCTTCATCAAATTCTAACTGTCATGGTTTCCAAACACCAATCAATGATAAAGCCAGCTCGATTTTTCGTCATAGGCCACGAGATGTAAACATAGGTAGCGCTAATCCCAACCCTAATCCTGGACCTAGCCCCAATGCTTACCCTAAACCTAACCTACAATCTCGCCAACAATCACATGTCCTAACCTTATTTATATCTCAGCGACCTTGACAAAAATTGAGCTGGCCTTAACAAATAGATTTAGCCATGATTAAACCCACATATTTGAAGGGAAACAACTCTTGTATTATTAAGATTGCACGAATCGGAAACAACGAGTTCATTCCTGCTTGATTAGACCATAGAAATTTCTATGATAGACCAGCATCACTTTGGTCAAGATAATTGCTAATCCTTTTCGTGCAGGGGGGTTGGATGGCTGAATGGTTAGTGTGCGCGCGCTGTATCATAAAGTCTGTCATTGAGTCGACTGGCATGGTTTCGAATCCCCGGTTGTACGTGACAAGGAGTAGGGTCACCTGTCCAACCTTGTGGGCTTTCTCCGGGTCCTCCAGTTTCCTCCCATTGCTAAAGACCCCTACACCCAAACGAATTAAGTCAGGGGTTGGATGGCTGAATGGTTAGTGCATCAACTGGCGTGGTTTCGAATCCCCAGTTGTACGTGGCAAGGAGTAGGGTCGCCTGTCCAACCTCGTGGGTTTTCTCCGGTTTCCTTCCACTGCTAAAGATCCCTATGCGCAAGCGAATTATTGAAATAAAATTAAACCATATGTTAGTCCCGAAATGACCTAGTTTGTGTCGAGTGGACGTTAAACCCCATTTCTCTCTCTCTCTTTTCGTAAACAACTACAGGTAGATGCTTTTCCATGCTAGGCTCTCTCAGCCCTGCAACACTGACAAGGGCAAATTGGCTTGGAAAATCCCAAGGCACTGTCTTTGACCTCAACCACTAGAACAAGTCTCTTTCTATACTAAGCAGCAAAAGCAACACCAGGTTGGTATGTTACTCTGGATAGACAGTTTGCATAGAACCTGCCAAATGTTTTTTATTGTATATTTGTGACCACATCTCCAACTTTACCTGAGCAATAAGGCTCCTTCTCAAACACAGAATTGAACCCAGGAAATGTTATAAAAAAAAACGCAACCAGACTTCTGAGATGGTAATGTGTTAGCCATGATTTTCATGTAACTCATACTGCACGTGCTGTTCACCGGAATCAGCCCTATAAAATGCACCCCCATACCTGGTTGAATCATTCACACTACGTCAGCAGAATGCCACGACAGCTCAGAGGAACCAGGCGCTTGGAAGACTCGACACTGGCCACATTGCCCAAGCCATTGCCAATCACTTCCAGGTAAATGTTTTGACCATCTACAGGCCTCAGCAATGCTTTTGGGCCACCAACAGCACGGATGATCACCCCCGAACTTGTAGATCAAGGGTTACCACAAGGTGACAAGACTGCCATGTTGTGCAACAGCACGTGCAGAATCCCTTCACACAGGCATCAATGGGAACACACGGAAGACCCATCAGTACGCCGATATCTCACCCGAGAGAACATCCATTGCCATAGACCTTACCGTTGACTGATCTTCACTATCGACATGAACGTCTACAGTTTGCCCCAAAACACCAGAACAGACGACACAGGCAATGGAGAACTGTTCTGCGTATCAAATGCAGATGGCAGGACCAGAATATGGTGTTGACGTGGCCAGCGTTATCCTGACCAATGTGTCATGGAACGAGACTCCTGGGGAGGTCCAAGCATAATGGTTTGGGGTGGAATCTGCCTGAAATTATTTACTAACCATTTGTCATTGGGGACCCACCGGTGGCCAAGTTAGTTTAAGACATTGGCTTGCTAGCCTGGAGGTTGCAGGTTCGCTTCCGGTGATGGTTGAGAAAGCTCATCTGGATTTTCCGACATTTCCCCTTATCAGTGTTACAGGACACAGGGCCCCGACAAGGACAGAGGTCTGGTCGTTTGGACGAAAAACCGAGGCCCCTCTGTATACATTTTGGCGTGCATGTAAAGGGTCCCCATGACCCTAGCGTTGCTGTCTAGGCAAAATTTCCCCTCATAACACACTGCATGGCGTAAACCCGTTTTCATTAGCCCAGTCGGAGCAGAACAGTGGGACGTTAAACCATCTGTTATCGACCAAATATTATCTTTCTGAATTTCACCAAGATTTCAGTTTATGAACAGGAATAAGTCGCAGCAACTCTCAAAACAAAAGAGCAGTATGACCATTATTATTTGCAATTTTAAAGAAAAACAAGATATCAAAAAATCCTAGGAATTTATTTTCAAAAAAAGTGCAGCTGAAAATCTTAATACAATTATTTCATAACGAGAACATTTTTCCGTTTCAGCTGTCAGTTTTTTCAAGACAATAGTTAAAATCACAAAATTCAACTCGTGAGAGAGAAAAAATTCAAACATATTTTTAAATCTAAACATAATGAAGTTTTCACCCATTCTCTCTTCCAAGTTTTAAACTTTGTTTAAATAATATTGCAAATATAATTAATTTGTTAATATAGGTGTAATATTCATAACAAAGAAAGTAGCTGTAGAATGATATCTTCATTAAAATAAGGGTTACTTCCAACTACAATTTTAACACAACTTTTTAAAATTTAAATCACATATTTCGAAGAATTTGTAGCATTAAAAATGGAAGCATGGGAGCTATCATCAAGATCATTCCAGAAATCTAAAATTAACGAGACCTGTTACATTCTCAATTTCTACCCTTATACAAATGGTAGTGGTTCAACACCTGCTTCTACAAATCGTCATTCAAAATTTGGTGCAGTTTAAAATTAAGGGAAGTAACTCTTATGTAAAATTAGATATCACTGGGTCATTTTAATCTATCTTTAAATTTTATTTGAAAGACACAAGGCAACCTAATTTGATATCAACTACACAGCACTTGTAACCAGTAAAATTTGACTGCAAATTGTTTCATTAAATTTCAAAATTTAAACATTAAATTACCTTTGAGTATTGCCTCAGAAGAATTTTGAACAACTAATATAAATCACATATTTTTTGATAAACAAACTTAAAGCATGTATCAATATTATGAATTAATTAAATCATTTGAAAACTAAAATTTGTTACGTTATAAATAACTGAGAACTCATGTTGACTTGTATTAAAGGACAGAAGTTTTTATTGAAGCCAAATTCACAATGCTTCGGAGAAGAAAAAATATAAAAGTTTTATGTTTGCACAATATGACAGTTGTGTTGGTATTTGCAACCGACTAGCAGAAATGGATCTTGTTAAACGATGGATGAACAATATTGAAATGTAATTTACAATGGAAAAATGTTGAATGATTTTGTTTTAAACACAGAAATAAGAACACATCGTTTCAATACACTTAATAGAATATCATTGTTTTAATACTTTTTTTTTTTATTTTCTTTTTTTAAAACTTTAAAATATTTAAAAGCATGACTATCATTCTATGGTAGACATTCCAGTACCACATATAAGGTAGATTGATTGATTCGACTGTACTACTAGTACTGTACTTCAAAAATAATGCAAATACGTAATAAGTCTAAATTTGGTATATTTGAAAACTGAAAAATTACCAATTCTAAAACAATGATATTCAAGAAAATCATTAAAACTAACGGTCTTTGTCTATAGAAAAACTTGATGTCAGGGATAAAACTTTCACCCTAGAATAAACTACTCAAGCATGAGATCATTAGAAAAGTAAAAATATTTTCTAAAATTGTCTTAATTCATAGTTGATCTTTTATCATATATCTTTATCTTTTTTTCATAACTCAACACTTTGTAATAAATAAAATGTAAAAATGATCAAAATTTACATTAGTTACGTATTAGTGACTGAATCCTGTCCAAACGATATCTAAGTCCGGTGTAGACGCGAATTAAATCGAATTGGACAGAAAAAGTGACCACATATCTAAAGCCATTAATAATCTACATGTTAATTGGTTTAGTTGCCCTTTTTTTATTTTTTTTCAAAATGTCGTTAAAAATTAATGACATTAAATCATATTATAAAACAATAGAACTCTATTTAAGGGGTCGGATTTCAGGTTATACGATTTATCCAAAATTAATAACCAAGGCAGGATAATCTATTATAGCACTGTAGACAATTGGTGACCGAATGGAGTCAATAAAAATATTTTCGTTAGAAACTGAGACAATCTAAAAATATTGGAATCACGTTCAATAAATATTTAATATTAATGAAAGCAGCCTGAAACATAAATCCAGAGGAATGTTCAGTCCAATCAACCATAGCTAGAGAATTTCACCCAGGCAGAGACAAAGGGTGAGGTTGGGGTTAGGGGAGGGGGGTTTTGGGGTGTCGGATTTATTATAATGCACGACATGATAATAGTAAAACTTAAGATCGCAATATGACAATGGAGTGAATAACAAGAGAGTGAACTCCGATTATTAAATAACTTTGCATAGTCTTGCACCATGTTTTTTTCAAATATAATTTCAAATAATTAATCGATTGATCCTAGATTTTTTTTAAAATTCTCGATTTATTAACCAAAAAATTAAATATAATATATCACCTTGGTAACAGTATGAAAATAAGACTGGGTCTTTCAATATTCTTTTATACAATAAATTTACAAATAGGATATTGTCAAGTTGTCACAACTAGGACATACCACCAAAAATAAAAACAACTTTTACTTTTCTTTCTAGTGGCATTTTACAATTATACGAAGACAGACATTTTCACACAAAACACATAATACAGAAAATATGCAATTCAGCTGAGGGCATTCAGAACTCGTCCTTTCATACAGTCTCTTTTTAACAAGTGAGAATAACCTTTGACCTTAGTGAACCAATGTCAACCAATTGAGACCCGTTCTGCGCACAAAAAAAATCTGTACAAAGTTTTTAAATTGGTTAACAATCGGTTATTAGATGTTACTTTAACACACGTGGGATCGACATGTAACCATGACAACACAGGACCAGCGATACTTGTATATTATCAAAACAAAATCGCTACTTGTTGCCGTTTAATCTGCCCATATAAATATATATAAATAAAGGGGCGTCGTTAGGTTACGTCAATCACATGAATGTTCTATGGCCATTGGCTATTTGGTTACCATGTTACAATAAATTATTAGCTGATCTTTTACATTTATAAAGGACTATTTAGCCATTGATATGCTCCTTTATTAACAGCTATAAATTGCATACTTTCCAATATATTAATTAAGCACCAGAATTCATTCATCAACGTCTTGCATTACTAAATCCGCCACCACCACCACCTCCACCGCCTGAGTTACCCCCTCGGCCCCCGCCTACATTAGAATTACCTCCCCTGCCTTCCGAACGATTACCAAATCCCCCTCTATTCATTCCCCCACGTCCACCTCCGAAACCTCCACGGCCACTGCCCCCAGAATTCATTCCTCCTCGTGACATTCCCCCGCGTCCGCTACTCGGTCGATTTCCGTCACCTCTCGGCTTTTTCTCCTCTACGTTTAATCTGTGATCTCCATTGTATCGAATTGGTTTGTTACTCAATATCTGTTGTACGGGATCCGGGCTGTCAAATACTACAAAACCAAAATTCTGAAAAATATCAATAACACCAAGACTAAATATTTTTACAAAGCATTCAATATATTATATCAACCATTATTACAACAAAATAATTTTCATTGTCAGAAATTGATGTTAAAGACTGCATGAAACGTTCAATTTTTTTTTTCTCAAGCCAACTAAATTATAAATTATGCGAAAACTTGCAATAACTCAATGACTACAGGAAGGACACTAATGTGTGTTGGTTGGCATGCACGTTAAAAGAGAAATGGGGGTTTTAACGTCTACCGACACTAACTAGGTCAATTCAGAAATGAAATGGGGTTTAACGTCCTACGGTTCTGCTCCTATACTGGGCATACGCCATACAGTGTGCCATGAGGGAAATTTTGCCCGGGCAGCGGCACTATCGCCTACTCTTATATCGAATTCCAACTGCCAAGGGATCTTTTACGTGCATTCCAATGTTTACACGTGACCTCTGTTTTTTGTATCATCCGAAGTACTAGACAGCTGTCCTTGTCAGACCCTGTGTCCTGCATCACTGACAAGGGGGAAACCACGTCGGAAAATCGGGATGAACTTTCTCGGCCAATGCAGGGATCGAACACCCGACCTCCAGGCTAGCGAGCCAGCGCCTTACCCACTTAGCCAACGTGGCTCCCAGGTCAATTCAGGACTATTTCAATAATTCACTTTCGTGCAGGATCTTTAGCAGTGGGAGGACCCGGAGAAAACCCACGAGGTTCATCTCTGTGCTTTGCCAGCTCAAGATGCAGGTTCTGACTAATTTTCATTTAAAAAACTGGGCCCTTATTCACGAAAACTTAAACTAAGATACAATCGAAATTTTAAGAAATACTGCAATTCGATTGGCTGACCAGTAAAATCAATTTGCATATATCCAATGAAGTTGCAGTATTTCTTAAAATTTCGATTGTATCTTCGTTCAAGTTTTCATGAATAAGGGCCCAGCACAACATTACAACAAGTATTCTCTTATCGTTTCAAAATTAAAATCTATTGTGTACAAAAACTTACCGGTACTTTTCCACCGCCACTTTTTGTATTTATTCTTAATTCCATAACATTACCATAATCTATATAAAAAGAAAATTATAAAATATTTAACAACAGTTTATATCAATTCAATTTGTAGAAATTTCATTTCAAATTTAAATTCTTTGCTGTTGAAATTTTAGTCAACTCATTTCTTATGAAAGCTGGCTCACTATGATCGGTAAATCTGTAGTTGGAAAAAGTCTTTTTTATTTTTATTATGCGAGAAAGAAATGGGGTTTAAAATCCACTCGACACAAACTAGGTCATGGTTTAATTTTATTTCAATAATTCGCTTGCATGTAGTGGTCTTTAGCAGTGGGAGGAAACCGGAGGACCCGGAGAAAACCCACGAGGTTAGACAGGCAACCATACTCCTTGTCATGTACAACCTGGGAATCGAAACCACAGCAGTTGAATCAATGACAGACCTTAAGATACAGCGCGCACTCGCTAACCATTCGGCCATACATCCTCCCCTTATTATATTCAGATAATTGAAAACCAGCAATGAATTATTTTTAAATGGCAAGTTATATTTTTACAAACAGGAATACAAACGACATTTTTTTTTCTTTTCTGTCGAAAATTATACAGTACTTACGTTCAAAGAAACTTTTCAAATCTTTTTCGAGAATATTGTGTGGTAGATTTCCGACGAATAACTGATGACTGTCTGGGTATCTGGGCATTCTACGTCCACTTAAACTGTCGTTATCTCCATCACCATCAGCACGGCTAAAACTGCTCGTCTTTTCTCGTTCACGATTTCTGTCTCTTGGTACAGGTCTGGAAAGGCAAAAACAGAATTTTATTTTTTTAATACCGTTTCTTTGAATTCAAGTATGCTTTATTCAAATTGAATATACTAAATCTTTGCCAGAAAATTCATGGATTTGAATTTTTTTTTTTTATCAATCTGATTAAAACAAATACTATTTCCTTTCGTTTTTTTAGTACAAAATTTTGTTTTACTTGTCTTTACTACTCTAGGATCTGGAAGAGTTGTTATATAACCTGCGTTCTGCTGGATGATGTGAGGGATTATCCAATGAAACTTTTACGGCAGAACTGTGGGTAACCCACTAGAAACATTAATGCCGATTGGTTAATCGAACTGCGATTATAAATGTTAACTGCGATTATAAATCTTAATTGTCATAAATGTTACCAATTTAAACAAAACATTTTTAACAAGCAAATTGATTTTACCTGGCTTGTCTCTGTGGTTGCGGAGCCTCATTTTGGTCTGATTTCGATTCGGTAGAAGTTGTTTGAGGTTTGTTAGCCGCCATATTGACCTGGCTAGCAGGAGGAATATTGCCACCAGGTGTCTTTTTACTCGCTAACGCAGCCCAGGAAAATGGCTTAGGTTCTGCTGTAAAAATAATCAAAATAATACATAAATGGAAATCTTTATTAAATAATGGGTAAAATTTTTGTTGCTCAAATGACAGGGAGGTGTCAATCTCGGGCAAGTTATTGCCCACACAAATCTTTGATATTAAGCATATTTCAGACATTTAGTGTTAAAATGAATACTATTTTGAATGACAATTCACTATATACAAATTCTGATCAGAAGTTTCTCTGATCAGAAGTTTCCTTTACATGTACCAAATAAGATATTCTATACTACTGTCCCTAATAAACATTGATTAAAATGTAGCTCAGTAAAAAAATATTCGTCACACATAAGTCGGACGCAACTTACAGACATCACTGCTACATCCATCAATAATTTAAATACATACGTAATTCATTAGATAAGACAATAATTATTAATGTGAAATGATTTTTTTTTTATGTTAATGACATACAAATGTAGTGCCATTAGTAAAATTTCAAAATAGTCCAAGTTTTGATAATCCTTAAAGATTAAAAGTAAAAAAATTTCTTGAAAAGTAATAAAAATTGATAATTGAAATGGTGATGATCTTTAACCCAGATAATACATTGAGAGAGACTCAACACAAACTAGGTCATTTCGGGACTAACATATGGTTCAATTTTATTTCAATAAAATCGCTTGCGCATAGGGGTCTTTAGCATTGGGAGGAAACCGGTGGACCCAGATAACCCATGACGTTGGACGGCAATCCTATTCCTCGTCACGTGCACCTGGGGAATCTAAACCACACCAGTTGGCTCAATGACTGACCTTATGGTACAATGCACATGCTCTAACCATTTGTCCATCCAACCCCCCTACCCCCTCCCCACCATGTGTGATGCATTGTACATGGTTATGGCCTCATGTCCTGATCACTGTTGTCTTGTTCAATCTGAGTAAGTTTTGTACTAACATTTGGTAATGCTTAGTCAATTATAAAACCGACTAGCGACCGTCTGAAAGATTTGATATTGGCTCACTTTTGACCACTCCAAGTCATGGTGACAAAGAAGTGACTTCGATAAAGCCTTTACATTAATTTCAAAGACTGTAGAACAACCATTATTTTTTTGCTAAGTTTGAAGATTGTGTGTAAAATTACATTATCCATGAGGGTAACTTTTTCTTTGGACAGACCAAGAGAGATGGGGATTAACGTCCACTTGACACAAACTAGGCCATTTCGGGACTAACAAGGTTAAATTTTATTTCAATAATTTGCTTACGCATAGATAGGGGTCTTTAGCATTGGGAGGAGGTTGGAGGACCCAGAGAAAACCCACGAGGTTAGAGAGGCAACCCTACAACTAGCGAATCAAAAACCATAGAGGTTGACACAATGACAGTCCTTATGATACAACACGCATGTGCTAACCATTCGACCATCCAACCCCCCGGACAGACCAATAACACAGAAACCAGTCTGGTCTACATGTATGTCAATGATGATTTATCACTTTCAGCCTGTATCTGCGAGAAGAAAATGCAAATCAATGTTTCGATTGTTGGGAATTTTATTAAGACTAATTTCAATCTTGAAGTGGACATACCTGGAGGTTCCTCTTCAACTGGGGGTTCGGGTGATTTCGGTACAGGTTCTTCTTCGTATTTATCTTCTTCAATATCTTCTTCCTCCTTCATTTCAGGTTCTTTTAAGGGAGGTGACTCTATTCTTTCTTGTACATGTGCTGTTCCATTACTAGAATATAACATACCTCAGAGTGATAAGTGTAAGACAATGGTATTGGGGGGGGGGGGGGGTTTATGTGTGTAATGATAGAATAATGAATTCCACCCACTCTTCATGGAATTCTATAATAAAACCTACATATTAGAGAGAGAGAAACAGGGTTTAACATCCACTGACACAAACTAGGTCATTTTGGGACAAACATATGGTTTAATTTAATTTCAATAATTCGCCTGCGCGTAGAAGTCTTTAGCAGTGGGAGGAAACTGGAGGACCTGGAGAAAACCCACAAGGTTGGACAGGTGAACCTACTCCTTGTCACGTAAAACTGGGTATTCGAAACCACGCCAGTTGACTCAATGACAGGTCTTATGATAAAGCGCGCTCATGCTAACCATTGAGCCATCCAACCCCCCTGTATTGGAAGGTGTATCACACATCTAATAATTAAGTTAGTTAGTATGACATCACGTCAATATTATTAGATAATATATGATTGTCTGTTTAATGAAGGCTACTAATGTATATGTATTATAACTTGTGAATGGCTGTTAAATACTAATAACACCTTGACCGTTATAAATGATAATACTCTAGGAGGGATAATAAGATCACATGCAACTAGAGCAAATAACGAGAAACAGCATTTTAAATAAAATCAAGTTGCAACATAAAGGGAAGTCTGCATTGACTAAATGGTCACTTGAAGAATTTTACAACTACAACCGGATTGAAAGCTGAATTATTTATTGCCAAGATGTAAGGCTTACCTGATCGGCGAGTCTGTGTTTGCGTAAAAATTTGATGGATCTCCCTGGGGTTCAACCTGTTGGCCATTTTCAACTTCTGATTCAACGTCTGAAAGAAATAATTGATAAAAAGATATAATTGATAAAAATGAAATGACATGGGGGTTTAACGTCCTACTGTTCTGCAGACACTATACAGTGTGGTATGCGGGAAATTTTGTCTGGACAGTGGTGCTACGGCCTACTCTTATATCGAATTCCATTTGCAAAGGGATCTTTAAAGCATGTCAATGTGTACATAGGACCTCGGGTTTTTCGTCCCATCCGAACAACTAGACAGCTGTCCTTGTCAGGCCCTCCGTCCTGCACCACAGACAAGGTGAAACCATGCCTGAAAATCCTGATAAACATAATTGATAAAAAGATACAATGGTTCACATTTTTACAAACAATAGAACTGTGCAGGGCTTAACCGTAATTTATACAGCAGTTTGTACTAACATTTGGTAATGCTGAGGCGATTATAAAATTGATCAGCGACCGTCTGAAAGATTTGATATTGGCTCACTTTTGACCACTCCAAGTCATGATGACAAAGAAGTGACTTCGATAAAGCCTTCCTATATCAATTTCAAAGACTCTACAACCACCATTATTTTTTTAAGTTTTTGTAAAATTACTTATCAAGGGTATCGGATAAACCAAGAACAGAAACCGATCTGATCTAAATTTAAGGTCGTGGAGACAGGAAATGTCGGATACAAGCCAAACCAGTAGAAGACAACCCTATGAATAAATTAATAAATTTTCCATCATATGATACAGAAGTCATGGATGGCGCAAGTAGAAATATATGTACAAAACCATCACCATGCCACCCCCCCCCCCCCCAAAAGAAGTGAAGAAAACCAAAATATTCGTAAGCTCTAATTAGTGTTTAGCAGGCCCCAAGTTCACAAAGCATTCTCATGACTTATGTATAGAATTTACTCATAATTGTTCGCCTATATTTTTTTTTAACTAAAATATTATAGCTCTTAATAAAAATTTTGTTGTTTTAATGTATCAAATACATCAATAAGAAACTATGTGTAAAGTTTTTTGTTTCTGGAACAAAGATGTTTCTCAAACAGTGATTGAAAGTTGAGAAAATGTAAAGACATGCTCCGGGGAGGGCGGGGGGGAATCAATACAAGCCAGAGTGGGATAAAAAGACGAACTGTTATCAATAATTTATGCTTTCTAGTTACTATTCGGCAGTGATTATAAAAGTTGTGATATTCTTGATAACTTACCACACTCCTCAGTGATATCCACATCACTGTCATTATCATGAAATACTTCATCCTGATACCGAAAGATGTCATTGTGAACGTAGTATTTTTTTGGTGATTGAGGAGCCAAAACAAACGTCTGCATGAAACGTCTCATTTGTTGTCCATTGTTCGACAGTTCACCGGTTACCTGTAGAATGCATAACATGGAATATAATATAAATAATCTGCAATTAAAATGGCAGGAAACCTATATACAACCCAAGAATCTTACAAAAATAACTATTACTAAACTATCAAATCAAGCTCATAAACCTCCAAGTTAATTTCATCCAATATGCTCTTATTTACAGCCTTTTGTCACAAAATCTTTAAAATAATTTCTATGACAACTGCCTTTTAATTGGTTAGATTTGGACTAAATCTTAGTTCTCGACCAATGAAAACGTTGAATCCTTTAGTTAAGTACATGTATTTGTGAACAAGGCCCCAGATTAAATTACCAGGAAAGAAACAGTAAGGAGTTAACCCTACTAATCAAATAGTTTTTCTAGTAGCTCAGGCAAAATCTTCGTCATATATTAATAAGACGCAACTTACAAACATCATTGCTACCGATTTTTTTCTCCAAGGGAGTTAAACTGGCGGACCGACGTTAGAAATAGGATGTAGGGCCAATTCAACAGCCATTTTAGTATTAACATATATGATGTAACCTTATCTTGTGTAATAAACAGGAAAATGAAATGTGATATAACGTTTCAATTCTCTGCTCCGACTGGGTCTTATGAAGACTGGGACTGATGTCTGCCGCACTACAGCCTACTTATTACATCAAATTCCAACTGTCAAGGGATCTTTTCCGTGCACGTCTGCCAATACAGTGTGCAATGAGGGACAGCGGCACTACAGCCTACTTATTACATCAAATTCCAACTGTCAAGGGATTTTTTACGTGCACATCAATGTTTTTCGTCCATCATCCCACCCAAACGACTCGACAGTGCTAGTTTTAAATGTTGAAACAAAGTCTGTGAGAGGTGCTTTATGCCTAGGCTTGGTGAAAATGTTAGTAGAAAACAAACCTGGACGACAACAGCTTCTCCAACAGTAGATTGACTGTCAACTTGTCTAATCTTGGCATGACAATCTCGGAAATTCAAAGACATTATCTTCTTGTGGATTTCCTAAAAATAAAATCAACAAAAAAAGCTGTTAGTCATCTATTTCTGATAATCATCTTTTGGGGGTTTTTATATACCAGAAAATGTATATGAAATATTTTGGTTTTCAATAGAATTCACACCCTCAGCTTACTTTTGTATAACATTTTTGATATGTCAAGTCTTGGAAAATGAAATGGGTTTTAACTTTCTACTGTTCTGTACCGACTGGTCTAATGAAGACAGGCATACGCCATACAGTGTGTGCTATGAGGGAAATTTTGCCCCCGGGCAGCGGCACTATGGCCTACTCTTATATCAAATTCCAACTGCCAAGGGATCTTTTATGTGCACACCAACGTATACACAGGACCTTGGTTTTTTGTCCCATCCAAACAACTAGACAGCTGTCCTGCACCGTCGGAAATTGCTGAGAGAGAGAGATAGAGAAATGGGGTTTAACGTCCACTCGACACAAACTAGGTCATTTCGGGACTAACATGGTTCAATTTTATTTCCACAATTCGCTTGCGCGCAGGGGTCTTTAGCCGTGGGAGGAAACCGGAGAAAACCCACGAGGTTGGACAGGCGACCCTACTCCTTGTCACGTACAACCGGGGATTCAAAACCACGCCAGTTGACTCAAATGACAAACTTAATGATACAGCGCGCGCGTGCTAACCACTAAGCCCCCCCCCCCACCGCAAATTGCTGATGAACTTTCTCGGCCAATACAGAGATCTAACAGTCAAGTCTTGGAAGGGGTCCTGCACTAACCCTTTATGAATTAAAGTGTAACATGAACAGTAATTAGTGTTTAACATTTTATGAGGTCAACAACCATTTTGGTTTGAAGCCAACTTACCGATTGTCCTGTGACTGGAGGCAGTTCTTCACCAGGCTTCTCAACTCCTCCATGAACAAAACAAGAATTGTGACTGTAAAACCTGAAAGAATCATTATTGGATATTGGTATGATTTATCTTTAGACTTAGTTGAATCAATCCACACCAAGTCAACATCGAAAAGAATTTGTGGAATCTTGATTTAGCATGAGCCGTTTTCTAACCAAGTAATTCTGTAACCCAAATTTGGTGAGATTCTTTCTATAATATTGCTTCATTTTTTGAATCAGGAACTTGTTCTTCTTGAGGTGACACAATTCAAGTCGACTTTAAAATTGGTATGTTTTTTTGAACAATTCTGCATCAATATGGTGAATTAGATTTTTGAATTTTATCCAACAACATGGTCAGTTCCTGGTCCATAATTCTATCGTACTTGTTTTAGGAGCAGTCCACTGGACTGGACCTTTTTGATGGACAACCAATTGAACTATCGGTTCAAGGTCTCATATTTATATCAGTTTTCATAATGTACAAACATGGTTGTGCGCAATGCGAGGTAGGAAAATTTTGTGCCGAACCTGGGCCATTATATCGAGGGTCTCTACATGCATATAAGGATCAATGAGAAAATTCCTTTTAATTCCTGACGAAATTACTTACCTATGAAGATGCCTTGGAGCTTCATGAAGCAAAGTGTAATATTGCCTCACAAATTCCCTGCCAACACATTGTGGGCTTGGGGTTTCCATGACCATGACTTTAACTTGGCTGTAAAAAGTCTATAGCTGAAAAGATAAAGAGAACTATCATTAATAATTTGTTTATTTCACGTCAAATCCAAATCACAAGGATATGCTCCATTCGTAGAAATGTACACTTCCCTCAAATCGGGCCTCTGATACCGCATATCATATGTTAAGTTGCATAATTGGGTTAATGTAAACTTACGATACATTTTTAAACTTTTCAAATCATGCAAAGGACAATAATTTTTTCTACAATAAGATCACATGAGCACTAAACCTCAGCAACCGCATTTACAGAATGGGGACTGAGCAGCACAAATGATACATCTTACAAATGTATTCAAAGTTAGAAGTACAGTGGCCGGTTTCACAAAATTTTAACTAAGATAAAATCCAAATTTTAGTAATTTGATTGGATAATATTAGATTGATTTTAGTGATTAGCCAATCAAATTTGATGTACTAAAATTTGGATTTTATCTTTAGTTAAGGTTTCGAGAAACAAGGCCCTGGCCCCGAGTTCACAAAGCATTCTCAGACTTAATTTAAGAATTTACTCAAAATTGTTCGCCATATGTAAACTAAAATATAGCCCTTTATAAGAAATCATGAGCAAAGTTTTTGGTTTCTGGATCAAAGGTATTTCTTATAAACAGTGATTGAAAGTTGAGTAAATTCTTAACTTTAGTCTGAGAATGCTTTGAGAACTCCGGGCCTGGTCTCAAGATAAAATTCTTCATTTCTTGCTACATGTATGCATATACACTAAAAGTGCTCGGGGAATGCACCACGAATAATTTACATATAACAAATTTACAGACAAAACACAATGCGCAGAAATCAAACGTACATATCAAATTGAGTAATGACAAAAGAGCCAAAGTACAAGAAGTTGAGGGAGAAATATTACTGTTATTTATTTTAACTGCCTAGTTCAGTATGTGTAGTGTATGTCTTCCTCATCAATATATAAAGCTACTTGCACACAACCACTACATGTAAGAAATATTTACATTTCTCTGGCTAATCAAGTGAGCATTATTATTAACAGTAGCACCCAGCGATATTCATCCTATGTGACAATTTAATTCTCTGGAACAATTCCAAAATCAATAGTATGTTTTACTCCTAGCCATGTATCAAGTTCTTGTCATAAACGTTTCTATTATTGACATTCTGTGTATCTCAATACATGTATTTATAATTACCATTAACAAATTATGGCTAATTATAAATTAAAGGCTCAATACCACTCTTGTTGTAACTGAATAATATGTCCCAATCTTTATTCTGGTCAACAAATTGTACTATTTCACAATATTCCAATTAATTGATGATACAAATTTTATCTTAACACACCTAATTTAAAAAATTGGAAAAATTCAACTAAATGATTTGAAAACTCTGACGTAAAGCTTTTCAAATGTGACTTTTTTGAACCCTCTGGACAAGTAAAATAGGATTTAATGGATAATTTACACAACAGGTAGGACACTTACAAATCTAGTACTTAGAATAAGGCTATTTTTTTATTTTCTGGAGCTGTCAAGCCAGCAAGAGTGTTATTGTCCCTTTAAACCGAGTCGCCCTAAACAGACTGTACTGTATCCACTAAGTAATGAAATGTATCTGCAGATCAGCTGGATAGGCTTATAAGGGTGGATCCAATTTGAACCGACAAACAACCAGGGAAGAGAGAGAAAAGAGAAATGGGGTTTAACGTCCACTCGACACAAACTAGGTCATTTCGGGACTAACACATGGTTCAATTTTATTTCAATAATTCGCTTGCACGTAGGGGTCATTAGCAGTGGGAGGAAACCAGAGCAGAGAAAACCCACGAGGTTGGACAGTTGACCCTACCTCCTTGTCACGTACAACCGGGGTTTCGAAACCACGCCAGTTGACTCAATGACAGGCCGTATGATACAGCATGCACGTGCTAACCATTTGGCCACTCAACCCCCCATCAGGGAAGAGAGCTACAAAATACAACTAGCTTTGTGACTGTTCTACTATCATATTCAATTTTTAGCAATGTCAATTACAGTACTGTAACTCAGCTCCAAACTCAGATCACAACATCAATGTTGATTTAAATTGACAAAAAATCGTGTTTTCAATGTCAAAGATTTTGGATGATATTGAGTTACGAGACTTAGCTACTTTAAGTACTGATTCTGACCACAAAACTGTTTTCGGAACAATGGCAGCAATTCTATGGTCTGACATTCTTATATCAGAAAGTCAAAGGTTCAATACAAGGCTACTTTATGATCAAAACTCAGTGAACTGATCTTAGTCGTGATCGTCAATCCAGCTTTCTTACTAGTATACTACCGGTACTAGACTAGGCCTATTGGATAAAACTACTGATGAGGACATACAAAAAAAAACGTTACAAAATAGGCCTAGACCACTGAGTGATACACAAATTTTCTACAATGATTTATTCATTTAATATTGTCAGTAACTGTTCCTAAAAGTACAGGACGAGAGTAACGAGACATTCACTAGATACTAGTCTGACCATTTTGCAAATAACTTACACTGGTAATTAAATTAAACAGTACTAAACCTACATCTTTCATCAAATTTATTAACTGCCATTCAGATACAGTACTACTGTCAGTAGCATGTTAGAAAAATTCAAAACCATAAAAAAACACCCACGACACGATATGATGATTCATGACCTGAATAAGACAATTTTCTACTTGAAATAATTAGTTTAACGTTGTTTCTTTTTTTGTAAATACATGGAGAAAATGAATACAGGTTTATAAAGACAACATGAAAGCAGGCGAATCAGAACAAAAACACGTGTGAACAGTGGGTTACGACTTCGCGGACGACCGAGTGCCAATTTCAACCCTTTCTTTCAAAAGAAAATAGATCCTGAATCCAGGCGTGTTCAAACACGTGGTTCATCGGCCGGTTGTGTTTTAGATTTTACAACAAATTATATACATATCTGGCATTATATACAAAAGAAATAAGGCTTCTATTCCTCAAAACAACAATGACGTAATTTTCAACATAATTATTTACGTATATTTTTCACCGTAATACCACAAAAAAAAACAATATCTCCAAGAGGAAGCTAAACTGGAAAGGGAGTTTCGTAAGATTAAATGGTCTTTATCGAAATATATCGGGCATTACTCACCTCAAAAATGATCAATTAATGGTCTTTGAATACTTGTATTAGATACACATTTAACAAATAATACGTAAGTGCCAATTATTCAGAATAATGTGGATTTTTGGTTGTAAAATTTTCAGATGCACATGCATAGATGCGCAGAAGTGGTCTAAAGAATTTCAAGCCAGCGCACGGATAGTCCTTCGTGAAATAGAAAATGTAAACCCCGGACGCTTATTAGCCCACAACATGGATTATTAATATTTGATCTCTAAAAAAGCGCATTAAAATAATATTTTTAAATGGACAGGCATACAAATACGAAAGAGAAATAAATTCTCAAGTATAATCTCCCACTACATGATAGCCAAGTAGCCTGACATTTAATTATTACCAAATTGAAAATGATGTGGATTATTTTAATACAAATTATTCAGATTACCGGGCCAAAATCATTTCGTCAGGTGAATTGATATATTTATGAAATTATCATACTAGAAATTACTCGAAATTGACAAAAAATGCCCCCTGGAATGAAATTTTGGAAAATTATGAAAATTAGTGATTTTCCGGAAAATAATTCTCGAAGAGTCTTTCGCAAATTGCGCAACCACGTTTCCAATGGTTACGCTTTTTAGCTTTATAATGCTGTGATCACGATTCGTGTTAGTTTATCACGGCTTCAGTGTTCTGCAGATTGGATTGCCTTGACACTTGACAGTGATCAAATTATATTGTTTGTTAATTTAAATTAACGAGGACAAAATGGCACAGGCATATCATTGGGACGCGTTAAGGAAAAAAAGAGTACTGGATCGAAAACACGAAGCCCTGGATCGACTAATGCATGCGGGCTCCGAGGTAATGTATAATGTAGCTTGCGCATTCTTAGAATTTAAAGGGATCAGTTAATATTTTCTTCACTGAAGGGTGGAATACGATAACATAACGCACGGTAGATGTCGACAAATAACTAGGTCATTTATGTAGTTTATGAATTGGCCACAAAGAAAAGCACAAAAATAATGTTAAATTTTTAGTAAAATATTATAATTATTCTATTAGATCATAAAATCTAGTCTTCTTTTTTGGAAACCATATAGATCTAAATTAAAATAAATATAATATTGGTGAAAAAACATTTTTAAAGTTATTATTTGTTTGTGCAGTTAAAAATAATAATATACATTATAATAGATTATAAGTTTCTTTTCAACAAATTTAGTTTTCGTTTATGCAGGCCTACTTGACAGTAGCCAACATTAATCTGGAGTGAATGAATCAAATAAAGACTTTACACCATCGGACAAGGCAAACGGCTTAATAAATGAATTTATTAACTAATTGAAACTTGACAACAATATAGGCCTAATAATAATAATAATATAATAGTAATATGCCCCATCTCAATAAAAATCCTAATTCTCTTACAGAGATCGTGGCCTATCTTCGGCACGAAAGAAATTACAGACATTCATTCTGTGTTTCGATCTATAGGGCCTACACCAAAACTAAAGGCCCTAGCTGATGATATCCGTGGGAAAATATTAAACATTGTAAATGAAACAATATAAGCAAACCACTATGTCATATTTTTATATCTTTCACGTAAGAAAAAGTCCCTGAAATTTGGAAATCCTCAAATGTAGTAGCAATTTTTATGAAAGCATCTCTTCCCCCCCCCCCCCAGCCCACATTGTGGAATTGTACGCTAGGTGTGGCTAGGCTATAAGTAGACTATACACAATGTGTTGCTTATAGGTATGTCAATAATTCTTGGGTTTTCAATAATAAATAATTTGTAATGATACATTATGAAATTGATTATTGCATGTTTATTTTTGTATTTAAAGTAGCTAAGTCTCTAACTCAATATCATCCAAAATCTTCAACATTGAAAACACGATTTATTTGTCAAATTAAATTAACATTCATGTTGTGATCTTACCGGAAAAAGATGGGCTTTTGATATCCAATATTTAAGACAAAATAAACATTTTACCATTGGTACACGAATTGTGTACCATAATGCGCTTCAGCCCCAGTTGTATCAAGAGACTCGAGGGACGAGGCTAGACACATTGCACCAAATCAAAAGGCATATGTAGACTGGAATAACCAGACGCTAGAAATTTGCACTCGCTTGAGACTGCTGGCTTATTTCGCCGAACATAACTGATTTGAAATTGGAGTAAATACGGAAACCATTGAATGTAAATCAGGTTATATACATTCATACTACAGTATATGTGTTGCGACCTACTTTTGTCAATTTCTAGGTCCCAAATATTAGCGATTTAGCTCCTTTAATCTTTGGGTATTTGTATTCTGATAGGCCTTTGGTGCTGCTGACACTGCCGCAATTCAGACCCGTAAAAGTCTGATTGCCTAAATCCTGGCATATAATCTTATCTAATCTGGTCGGGAACCCAATTGATCCTTTTTTTTTTAACCCAAAGGTTCTGAATATAAAAGAAAAGGATATCCCCCCAATGTTGCACACTTTTTATTTAGTCTACAGAACCTTTCCAGTAAAACTCCCTTTTTGACTGTACTCTGTGATCTGATTAACAGAAATGAATGCTGTATTCATTAATGTGAGGGAGCCACATACGGTGGGTAAGACGCTGGCTCGCTAGTCTGGATGTCGCGTGTTCGATCCCTGCATTAGCTGAGAAAGTTCATCATAGTTTTCTGACATGGTTTCCCCCTTGTCAGTGGTGCAGAACGAAGGGCCTGATAAGGACAGCTGTGTAGTTGTTCGGATGGCACGAAAAACTGAGGTCCCGTGTATACATTGATATCCACGTAAAAGATCCCTTGGGAGTTGGAATTAGATACATGTATGAGCGCCACTGCCTGGGCAAAATGTCCCTATATGCCCGTCTTCATTAGCCCAGTCTGAGCAGAACAGTAGGACATTAAATCCCATTTCATTTCATTGAATTAATGTGAGAACTTGTAATTTATGACAAATTGATTATTCCAGAATCCAGTTCCGACACACATCATGACGAGAACTTGTGAACCAGGGAATAACATTGTCTCTACAGACCCAGAACAGTTTAATCAAATAAGGTTTGTTTGGTTTTTTATTCAATATGAAGGGGTCATAGAAGTTAACTGTACAAATTGGTATAGCGAGAGAGAAAAATAGGGTTTAACGTCCACTCAACACAAACAAGGTCATTTTGGGACTAACATATGATTTAATTTTATTTCAATAATTCGCTGGCGCATAGGGGTCTTTAGCTGTGGGAGGACCCGGAGAAAACCCACGAGGTTGGACAGGCGGCCCTACTCCTTGTCACATACAACCAGGGAATTGATACCCCCGGCATTTAACTCGATGACAGACCGTATGATACAGCACGCGCGTGCTAACCATTCGCCCCCCCCCCCCAATTGGTATAGCATGTGGAAGATCTGATAGCACAGTTGAAATGCTAAGAGTAGTAGACAGAAACGCTGCTGACCTGGCAAAATTCTCTGCCTCACAATGTACGTGTACCAGTACTGCGGATAATATTCCAACATCGTAATGAAAATGAAATGGTTTTGGAAAGACATTAAGCCCTACTTTCTTTTTATTTAATAAGGAATACCCCAATGAAGTTTACTGTTTGTTTCTCTCTGGGAAATCTTGCTGGCCAATTTGAATGTCACGTGATGTATCCTTCTGCCCGTCTCTTTTATATAAAGCATATTTTATGCTCATATCGCCGAATCACACACATTGCACGCTAAAACTAGTTTCAAGTAAATAATCAAAATGGCTGTTTTCGATTGATGTGGAAAATGTTCATTTGAATGGGACAAAAAAAACTGAGGTCCCGTGTACATATTAGTGGCATGTAAAAGAATTGAAATGAAATGGGGTTTAACGTCCTACTGTTCTGCTCCGAACTGGGCAAATGAAGACGGGCATTTGTAAAAGAACATCTTCACTTTTGGAATTTGATGTAAGAGTAGGCTGCAGCGCTGCTGTCTGGGCAAAATTTCCCTCATTGCACACTGCATGGCATATGCCCGTCTTCATTAGCCCAGTTTGAGGACATTAAACCCCATTTCAAATTGATTACAAAATTATTCAAAGGGAGAATACTCTGATTTCTTTCATAAGAACATCTAATCTGTAGAGACAAAGGGAGTACCAGTCCAAAACTGTTAAACGAAACAAAAAATATCATCTCGCAAAGTTTTATTTATTACCAATACCTATGAGATTGGGTTTGTATGAAATGATCACATAAATTTTTGAAAGTCTAGAAAAATGTAGGAGGGCAATTCCATGGTAACGGACGTACCATTTGCACACTTTTCCCTTCCTTTGAATAACATTTCTCGAAACTTGTATGATGAAAATCAGTCATTTTGAGTGACAATTGATAGATCTTAAATAGGGCCTCGAAATGAGTGTTATTACAAATCTGACCAATCATCTTAGAACTTGCTAAGCAAATTTGATACCACTTTTTGAAATATAAATTGAATTAAGAGAAAACATTTTTTGGAAGACTTACTTCAGATGAGACCTTGCCCTGAAAATATATAATATCATAAAGTGGGGGATGGGGGTGAGAGACATTGAAATGGACTTTTTTTTCTGATTTTGTTACGAAGCACATCTGATAAACTATTCCCGATATCCTTATGACACTTTAAAATACACACGAACCTATTAGTTAGAAATTTCTCAGATTTATATACTTTTGTGTTTTCATGGATCCAAATTTGACTTTTGCTACAGTAATTAGAAATATCTTAGATTTATTGATTTTTGCTTTTTCATGGACACAAATTTGACGTTTTTTTGGTAAACTTATACAAGGTTGGGACATGTTGATGACAGCCTTGTCGTTATTTTTAGAATTTGTGTTTTCACGGATATAAATTTGACAGTTTTTTTGTAAACTTATACGAGGTTCGGACATGATGATGAGAGCCTTGTTGTTGTTATTTTTAGATCTGGGCGCTCTATATTGGAGGTTACGCATGATACCAACTTTAAATATCGAGTTTATAAAGGAATGAGCAACGAACCAATACATGTAGATAATATATATAAAGTCATATACCCAGGCTCCTATTATAATGATGATGTAGGTTTTTAACATATTTTGTCTAACAGCCAGTTTTTATCTGCTATCAATTTCTTCTCTAAACTCTCTAATTGATATTTTTTACACCTAATTTTAAGATCTGATATTAATAATATTCATACTTTACTTTTTTGTCTATTTTAAAAAGTTACCTAATAAACCTATAATGAAGTATGGAAATAAGGCATATTACACAATGTCAGGCAGATGGGCACAGATACAGGCTTTGTCGGGCACAAAATAAGTCTTTGTCAGGCTGTGTGGGACACAAATTTCGGCCTTTGTCAGGCACAAATTTCTGGCAGAAAATCAGGCTTTGTAGGGCAGAAATTCGGGCTTTGTCGGGCAGAATTTGGGGTTAGTTTCATCTGAAGTGCGTCTTGTTCTCGACTGTTTTACATGTACTGTAAGTTTTTTTTTTACAAAAATCAGGATGTGCCCCACCTAAAACACTGTCCTATTTTAGGTATATATATGATTGCAATTAATCTCTATTCACCTTAAAAAAAAAACAAACAAAAAACCCCGAAAAATGTGGAGCCATGGTGGTGGGTAAGGCGCTGGCTCGCTAGCCTGGAGGTCACATGTTTAATCCCTGCATTGGCAGAGAAAGTTTATCGAGATATTCTGACGTGGTTTCCCCTGTCAGTGGCGCGGGACAAAGGGCCTGACAAGGACAGCTGTCTACTTGTTCGGATGGCATGAAAAACCAAGGTCCCTTGTATACCTTAGCATGCACGTTAAAGATCCCATGGCAGTTAGAATTCAGCATAAGAGAAGGCCATAGTGCCGCTGCCTGGGCAAAATTTCCCTTATAGCACACTGTATGGCGTATGTTCGTCTTCATTAGCCGAGTTAGAGCAGAACAGTAGGAATTTAAAGCCCATTTCATTTTCTAAAAACAACCTCTCCCATTTCGGATATGCTCCTTCAATATATATAATTACTATTAATCTGTATTCATCTATCTCCATTACTTAATTTAATAAATTATTTTCAGAGATCCCCTTCCACACTTTAGAGTCAACGAAGAGGGCTTCCAAAACCGATATCGTAAAAATGCCAATCAAAATCCACATTGTGATCACATCTACACAACCTTATATCCAGGCAGTGACAATATTGAATATACGGAAGACGTCAATAAAAAAAATCGATGCCTAAATCAAAATATAGATAAATATGAAATCACTGAAAAAATAAACGGAAAATTCCATATGCATTGCTTATCGCAAGTGCCCGATTAAACATATATTATGCAAGAGCTAAATCTGCCTAATGCAGGTCTTTCTTTAGGCCTGAAATGTTAACTAAATTATTAATTCGACATTAACATATCCAGACCATAATCAACTCTTGATGCCATCGGATCTCTGATATTGAATAGATTAGAACGGTTCAGCCATATCTTGATTTAATTTAAAAATGGAGTAGTGAGACTTAGCTTCGAACAACCAGTACAGTGGTTGAAATTATTGCATACGTCTTGTCAAAACTGTCAAGGGCTAATATTTTCGCTCGCAATAGAGTAATTTGAATGAAACTTTAAAAATTATTCATTTTACATTATCTATTTTTGAACTATTATAGCAAGAATGGCTAGCTCTTTATCTAAATCTTACATAATGTATCTTTAATTTCAATAGAAAACTGAGTAAAAGAAGCTGACTTTAAAAAAAAAAAAACCCCAAAAAACCCAGGTTATACCGGTCCATGTATATAATTTACGATTTTTGAAGTCGATGTAATATATATAACCATCATGCTTACAAACATGTTAAAATTTGTAAAAAGTACAACTTATCTAATATTTTACAAGTCTTATTGAATTTTAATTTAAGATATATATTTACAATGTAAAAGCCCAATGCAATTGTTCGAATAATTTTTCTCCGTTCCATGAAAAAAATTATATTCGGATGTTTGCTGTGGAATTCAGAGCCAAAGGTGTTGCAAATTTGCCGTGTTTTTACACTAACTTAGATTGATAGTTGTTGTTCACCCTTGAAATTTAAAAAAAATATAATTTATTTTCAGACCCGGGAAAAATCTGCCACAATTTTATAAATTGGAAATGCCAGAAAAAAGTCGAAATAGTCATCTGCCATTGATTCCATACCGACCCCTTCCTGAATCTTTTACGAATGTTAAACGTGATCAGACTTACACACTCTTTCATAACTATGAATTTTATCAGGAGTAAAATAAGATTTGACATCTCGAACAAAGTACCTTCCCAACGACATTGTTAAAAGCCTTTATTTGCCAAATTAAAAAAAAACAACAAAACATTAAAGTCCTGATCGCCATTGTAATGCTATAGATTCACTCTCTAATAGGAATATCGGTCCAAAACTGGTTAAATTCCGATGGAAACAAAGCCAGGATATTATCTTTTATTTTGATTTTGTTTTCTTAATGAAATTTTTTAGCAAAAAATGCCAATGGCCCATCAGGACTTGAATGTTTGCAAATATATATGCTGTATGTCCATCTTGTTTTTAATGTGGTTTGAGCTATATTATATATTTGATCTTTTATATTAAATATTGGTTTGAAAGTGTCTTGCTTGCTATTTAATGTTTAACTAACAAATTTGTTTTGGTGGAGGTGCTTAGGGGAACTTGAGATATTTGACTGTATGGAGGGAACAAGTTTATGGAAAATATAAGCTTGCTTTCTTTCTAGCTTCTCTCAATGTATGTACATCTAACCCAGTTTTCACTATGTTTAAAAAAACCCGAAACAAAACACAGAAAGAATCAGACCATGTGTTAAAGATAGTAATCTGTTTATGCGGGACATGTCATCCTGAATCGACAAAGTCCATCTGCAGATCGACTGAATTGGACATTATGTTAAAATTGTTAAAAATTCAAAAAGTTTCGACTGTATTGAGACTGTAGTGAACTACTTAACACTGTTAATTTCATTATACGAGACAGTTTACGTCGCCACAGTTTCGTTGTGTCCGGGGATTTTATGATTTAGCGCAAAAAATGTTATTTTTCCAGCGCGCAAAATGACCGACGGGTCTGATCCAGTTTCGGTCATTTTCCAAAGCCCTCGGGTCCCAAGCGGCATGTACGGCCGATATGGAACCCATGATTGAGAATATATCTATTACTAATCTCAATTTTTCATGTGCATGCTGGGTAATTTTACCATATATTTTGGTGCTTTCTGAATTTTTGCTTAAATACGCTTTCCTGTAAATGCGAGTGAAATATAGATTTAAGCTTTGTAATGGATGAGTTACCCGGCCTGCTCTTGATGGATTAAAACTGCACCAGAAATTAACCATGTGACTAACTACTAATATTTATTTCAGGATTGAGACTCGCTTATTTCTGAAGAATAACCACAGTTCTAACATACCAGAAGATAAGATCTATCCCATAATACACCCAGAACCTTCGCTAATCCCATCAAACGTCCTGCCACCAAGAAAACCTCATTATAAAGTTTAATCACGAAATACTAAACTTAAAATACTCATATTTTGTAGCTTGCCTGGTAAGTCTTAAAAAAAAATGACCCAATGATTATATTCCGACAGAAAGCCTTGAATTTTGACAAATTAATCCCAAAGCAACAAAACTCACAAGACTATGTTGAAAATAGACTGGCTTAATTCAGGACATGTTGAGGGTTATTTTTTATTTTTTTTTTTTTTTTTTTAAGCAAAATTTGTATTCAGGATATCTGGGATTGGGGGGGGGGGAAGGCTTAGTCTGTATAAAACCCCTCTTGTTATCGTGTGACAATACTTTATCATTGGTACCTTAATTGCACTGATCCAGGCAATGCTCCATCTCTCCATGATTTAACTGTTCATTTAGTTGCTATTTTGGAGTAACCCCATAAAAACATGAGCCTATTATGAGATTTTGCATCCAGCATTAAGACCAGATACATATGCAAATATCAATTTAACTTTGAGGAAAATACAAAATTTAAAAGTATTGTGTTCAGGTGTTATATTTTAATCTTGAATGTTGCATGATTTACTGTTGACTTTTAACTTGCTTGCTTGTGTGTTTTGGAGCTTGGGTGCTTGTGGCTGGTTTGTTCAGAAAATAATCTGCTTCTGCTTAAGTCGTTCTTTAAATAGTTTTTTTTATACCCCCCACCCCCCAAAAAAAAAATAAATTAAACTTTCACATATGAGGAATAAATTAAAATTTTATTTTTCCTTTCATTAACAGAAGTGTGAATAGTTGGATTGGGCGAGAAAGAAATAAACGGGAATATGATCACAGTCGAGACGGTCCTTTACTTAACTCTTCATGGCAAGGTCTTCGCACAGAATATGGTTTCCGTAAACAAGCCACCCCTGCTTTAGAAGGGGACAACCAGTTTCGTTTTTAGATTTAGTTTTAAATAGGAACTCATTAAGATAATCAATTTGTTGTTTCTTCAAAATCTATTACAAAATTCCTCTTCCATTTTAAATGAAAAACCTCTGGTTAAGAAATAATACACACATTATGGATCATTTTAATTCTAAAAATTCTAATTTTTAAGGGTGTTTGTTTACAAGGGAGGAATTTTTCAACATTGATTTTACATTAATTTAATGATTTCCTTCTTTTTGAAAAGTTAAAACTGGCAATTTGAAACATTTAAATTTTAGATAAATAAGCTGGGCCCTGTTTCACAAAATTTTAACTAAAGATAAATCCAAATTTTAGTACATACTTCAATTTTGATTGGCTAAGCACTAAAATCAATCTAATATTATCCAATCAAATTACTAAAATTTGGATTTTATCTTAGCTAAAATTTTGTGAAACAGGCCCTGGAATTCCAGTAAAGCATGAAATGCACATTAATTTAATTCACACCTTTTGAAATTTACTCGTTAAACAATAGGTGTGAAACTAACATTTGCAACACCTTGTTAACATATTCTTGTTTCAACCATCACAGTATTATTCATTGTATATATCAATTGTTTATTTGAATGTTATTAAAGAGGTATTAACACTTTTGAAAGGCATTGTCGGTTGGTAAAAATATAATTTGATTTCGTCTGATTTGATGTAATTTGACTAGTTACATCGGACATGCTTAAATAAAATTTGAGATAAATCTTTGAAGTTGTCAATCAATTAGATGTGTCGTGCAAATTTTCTCCCCATGGTGATAGTGTTTTTCTATGGGTTTAAGCCAACACTATCACAAAATACCTTACTTGAAATAAGTCTATTTTGGGGAGTTGTAAGGAGGGGGGGGGGGGGGGCAGGGGTGATAGTGATAATACCTCTTTAATGTATTTCATTGTTAATTTATGAATAGAAGTGTGGGTAGGATTGTTTGTCATCTTCTTACTACCTTTCACAAACCAACAGTATTTGACTTATTTGTTAGGATCTACCAAGGCCACACCAAGTTGATTTTCTGCACTTCGGAAACACCTGTTAAGCCTTTCCTTCTGTCTTCGGAGAAATAGACTAATTTAAAAACCATCCTTCTGTCTTTGGAGTAGTAGACTAATTTAATAACCAAAAGTACTATAATTGTACTGTTCAAAAGCTTTTAGTTACAAATCTGTAAGTTTTGGATATTAAAACAAAACATCTTTCACATGCTTTAAGACTAATTTAAAGACCAAAAGTACTATTATTGTACTGTTCAAAAGCTTTTAGTTACAAATCTGTTTTGAAATATTCAAAAAAACATCTTTCACGTGCTTCTAGTGGTTTTATATTGATCCAGATCCTGAAGAACTCAAAATTAATTTGGTTTGGCCTCAATCCACCATTTTGATTACCAGGTAGTCAGTGATCACATGCTATTAATACATGTATATATGATATTTTTATACTTTTGTATTTCTTTTTTATTGATGTTTAATTGAGACCAATCCTAGTTAGTGTGAACCTTGTATAGTATTGGTGGATACTGTATTAATTTAACTCTTTAGTATCCCGTACATGTAAATATTCCCTTAAAAAAAATAAGAGAAGTGATGTAACTCATTTATGAACCCACCAGAAACTACTTTTCCCTAGTCCAGGGGGTTTGGATGCTGAAGGATTAACATACGCGCTTTAGATAAGATCTGTGGTTTTGATTCTCGCTTGTATATGACATAGGGACTCCTGTCCAACCTTGTGGGCTTTCTTTGGGTACTTTGGTTTCACCCCACTGCTGAAGACCCACACACAGAAGCCAATCATTGAAATAAAAATTAACCCATGTTAGTCCCGAAATGAGTGTGTCGAGTAGACATTAAACCCCATTTCTCTGTCCCTAAACCACCTCAAGCAGTCGGTCATAGCACAGGTCAAGTTCGTGTCCTGACTTTTCACAGGACATTGAGTAGCAAAAGGAAGCAGTACTTTCTGGTGGTACCAGTTGTTAAAGGGTCAACTGAATTCAAAGCATTATTGTTAATGGATCCATTTCCCAATGATATGATTTATTTTTGAATGTTTTTATTTGTAAAGCATTTATTATTTGTTTTTGTATGTGAGCACAACTGTGATAATTGATTAATTATATTGATGAATTAAAATTGAAAGATTTATAATTTTGTTAAATGTTTGTTTTGAAATAAAATATATTTGTGTGTACTGAATGCATCTATCCTTGTTTTTAATGAACTGGACTATAGTCCTCGATGTTGGCTCCCCTACCTGGACACACCAGACATTTTCTACAAAATGTAGTAAGGATTATGGGTTTTTTGAGGACTTTTGGCAAAATTAATTCAATTGCCCACACTTTAGAAACTCTACAGAGTTCAGGTCAACACAGTATTTAGAAATTTGTTATTGATTATGTGTGTAGGACAGTTACGAAAAGAGTTATTTAGAACCTTGAACTTTGCTTTTATTATTGTTTTTAGTAAAAACAAATTTCCAGATTAGAGAAGAGACGCTAGGAACTGAACTAGGCATAGAAAAACAAACTGAAACATAACTTGCAGGACCAGCAAAATGCATCGGCAGCGTTTTAGTGCAGCACTTATGAACTTGAAATACATGAGCCAGGTGGTCCCTGCCTCTCTGGCATTTTCATGTACAGCTTTGGTCAATTTTATGCAAGCTACGAAATGAAATGGTCTAACAGTAACACAGTGGTTCTCAACCTTTTTTAGGCAACGGCACACCTTAGAGCACATGAAAAAATAGCGGCACACCTGGCTAAATATATATGAAAAATATCTGAATTTTGCAAAATAAAAACTTGTCAAGTCATAGACGGCATACAACCGTAGACACAGGCTAATCATAGAAACATAGAATGGCTCACACTAAATAAAGAAAAATACAGCTATGAAATTATCAGTAGGCACCAGTAAATGCTCAAATGGAATCCTGTGGGATTTTGCATTTTCTTAGTGTGCCGTTCAAAATTTTGCGGCACACTTTAGGAAGATCTCGCAGCACACCTGTTTGCCGCGGCACACTTGTTGAGACTCACTGGTCTAACACATGCATATTAGATCACAAGGTGACGTTAATGATCTCACACTTGTATATGACATGGAGTAGGGTTGCCCGTCCAACCTTGTGGTTTTTTCAAGGTACTCTGGTTTCCTCCCACTGCTGAATACCCCTATGCACAAGTGAATTATTGAAATAAAAAACTGAACAACATGATACTACCGAAATGACCTAGTTTGTGTCAAGTGAAAGTTCAACCAGATTTTCCAGCGTGGTTCCCCCTTGTCAGTGATGAGATGAAACAAGGTCCCATGTATATATTGGAATGCACGTAAAAGATCCCCTGGCAGTTGGAATTCGATATAAGAGTAGGCGATAGTGCCGATGCTCAGGCAAAATTTCCCTCATAGCACACTGTATGGCGTATGCTCGTCTTTATTAGCCCAGTATAGGAGTAGGACATTAAACCCCATTTCATTTCATTTCATTTTCATATATTATCTTAAAAACCAAAATCATTTCCCTCTGGTACTTGAACGTTTGTCTCAAGTGCAGTATGTGGTCTCTTGTAAATTTTGTTACAATTTGTTTTCTATCGCTGTTAATGTCTACCCACAGTTCCCAGTGCTAAACAAAAAGCACTCGACTCAACAGACCACTTGATTGGCTAATCCCTCATATCGACCAGAACGCAGGTTATTTAACAGCTCTCCCAGATCCTATTTTGAACTATAAAAAAAACGAAACAAAATAGGATCTATGTTTTATTCAGATTGCTGAAATCTAGAACCCTGCCACTGTGTCCCTCTATTGTATTAATATTATATAATAGTTATATCAATGTTTTCTGTGTATATTATAATATTAATACAATAGTTTTCTGTGTGTATTATTGACAAGCTGTGTCCTTCCCTTGTTTGTATTAATATTATATTAATTATATCAATGTTTTCTATTAATATTATTAACAAGTTGTAGAATATTTCTGGCTTGTAAAACTAATGGCATATCTATCATACTTCCTCTAAATGTAAACGCTCCCTGAAATAAACAATGAATGTGAATTAAGAGAGAGAAATGGGGTTTAATGTCCACTTGACACAAACTAGGTCATTACGGGACTAACATATGGTTCAATTTTATTTAAATAATATGCTTGCATGTAGGTTTTTTTTAGCAATGGGATGATTTGACTCAATGACAGACCTTATGATTCAACGTGCATGCAATAACCATATGCCCACATGTTGCAATGGATGGACGGAGAACTGGGAAATAGGACTTATCCTTTTATTGTTCCAATGCTTTACAAAGAATTAGAAAAAATCTGTTAAAAATGGTAGCGCTTCTATCCCATTCACAAGTTTTTTTGAAAAGGGGTTAACTTAGGAACAAAATGTCAAGGACTGCTGAATATCGACAGGGTTGGTTCATCTTTTCATGCCCCCCAATACTACACACCAAATTTGAAATAAATCGGTTAAAAACTAGCCTCTATCATGTTCAAATGGTTTTCGACAATGAGGTGAGGGGTAACTCCAGAACAGAAGTTTGCAGAACCCTGAATGATGAACCCAATGCTTTACACCAAATCTGAAGAAGATTGGTTGAAAACTGGGGCCTCTTGAATTTTTGGCAAAACAACAGAAAGAACAACTGTGACACAGACTGTGACACATTAAGCATATTGGCTAGTGCTCGCTGTGTAAAACCCATTTAAAGCATTCCAATAGCACATAGACGTTCATCATGTTGAAGACGTCTCATTGCAAATTAAACGTGACACACTAAAACAAAGATACGCCAAACAGTAAATCTTATGCAAGAACCCATAGGAAAGCAAACAATAACATGGATAGGATAGCCAGCACCAGGGTTCCCGCGGCTTCGTCAAACATTTTTTCAAGGATATTCAAGGATAAATATATGTCAAATTCAAGGATTTTCAAGGACATTTTTTAGCCTAAAGTTACAATTTTTTATCTTAAAAATAACCAAAACATTACCAACTATCGTTATAATCTCATATTTAAAAGGAATTGAAGACATTTTAAACAAAATTAAGGATCTCAACTGAAATTCAAGGATATTTTCCTATTTCCGCGAAATTCAAGGATATTCAAGACCTTGAAAATGAAATTTTAAATTTAAGGATATTCAAGGATTTTCAAGGACCGCGGGAACCCTGCAGCACGCGGCAGTTTTCATCAACCCATCCTTGAAGTGTCAAATTTGACAATGAACCCCTCCCACGTGTATGGCGCTATTGCGTGTGCGCATCTGCAGCTCAGTGGTTCTGTTGGGGTGGTAAGTTCTTCATCTGTGCACATACTCTCAAAGCATGTCAAGTGTTCGTGACTATTTATCATATCACAACCTGTATAGGTATTTGCATTTCAATATCCCCAACTTTTTTTGAAGAGTATATAATAGATCTATATTATATTATAAATACCTGTCCTGATTGATGATGTGTATTAAAGGCATCTATAAGTTGTGTAGCCCATTCTATTTTATCTTGACTAGGAGTAAATGCTGTATTAACTGTATCTATTTGACTGGGATGTATTATTTGTTTTCCCGTATATCCCATTCTTGCTCCTTCTAACGATTGACGTTCTAGGGAGGCTTGATCTGTAAACATGGAGAGAGAGACGAGATGAGACAGAGAGAAATGGGGTTAACGTCCACTCGACACAAACTAGGTCATTTTGGGACAAACATAATGGTTCAATTTTATTTCAATAATTCGCTTGCGCGTAGGGGTCTTTAGCAGTGGGAGGAAACCGGAGGACCTGGAGAAAACCCACGAGGTTGGACAGGCGACCCTACTCCTTGTCACGCACAACCGGGGATTCGAAACCACGCCAGTTAACTCAATGGGAGATGAAATAAAATGGGGTTTAACATCCTACTGTTCTGCACCGACTGGGCTAATGATTGACGTTCTAGAGATGCTGGATCTGTTAACAAGGAGAGACGACATAATGGGGATGCTCGATTGAATGTTCCGAAGTTGAAATCTGTCAAACCCCAAAATAGTGACAATTGAATGCTAAATCTATTTGTTAAGGCCAGCTCAATTTTTGTCAAGGTCGTTGAGATGTAAATACGGTTAAGGCACATGATTGTTGGCAAGATTGTAGGTTAGGGTTAGGGGTTTAACGTCCTACTGTTCTACACCGACTAGGCTAATGAAGACAGGCATACAATTCCAAGATGGCGGCAATGGCATCATGTTTCTGGTTCAAACATCAGACAGATCTGGCCATTGCATGGTAAGTTTGCGACTTAATGTTTGGGTTGTTTTTTTTTGTGAATGAAATGGGTTTAACGGCCTACTGTTCTGCACTGACTGGGCCCATGAAGACAGGAATACGCCATACAGTGTGCTATGAAGGAATTTTTGCTCTCTAATGACAGTATCACAAAAACAAGATATTACAACAGTGGTAGGCAAACTTTTCAGGTGAAGAGCCAAACACAAAATTTTGAAACAAAGCGAAGGCCAAACAAGGATTATGAAATGTCACTTTATTGAATAAAGTAATACGAAACAATGCACTTTTTCTGTGCTTATCATTCGGCTCCATAGTTATATTCAGAGAAAAATCAAAACATGTCAAATAATAACGTAAAATGGAAGTAGGGCCAAGTAAAGTGACGTCAGCTAGGCAACTACGTCATTGAGTGACGCTGTAAGCTATAAATAGACCTATAAAGATTTTTGATCCTACAGAGAGTAGCGCCTGTTTAGATTTTGGGCACAACAATAAACAATTTCTATTTTTTATTTCATTTAGAGATAAAAGATTTAGAGATGTAAAGGAGGGATCGTAGTTTGCCCATCACTGTATTACAGAAATGAAACGAAATGGGGTTTAACGTCCTACTGTTCTGCTCCTATACTGGGCTAATGCAGACGGGCATACGCCATACAGTGTGCTATGAGGGAAATTTTGCCGGGGCAGCGGCACTATCGCCTACTCTTATATCGAATTCCAACTACCAAGGGATCTTTTAGTGCATTCCAATGTATACATGGGACCTCGGTTTTTTGTCTCATCCGAAGGACTAGACAGCTGTCCTTGTCAGACTAACCCGTTCTGCACCACTGATAAGGGGGAAACCACGCCAGAATATCTGGATGAACTTTCTCGGCCAATGCAGGGATCGAACACCCAAACTCTAAGCTAGCGAGCCAGCGTCTTACCCACTTAGCCACCGTGACTCCCCACTGTATTACAACATACCTTTTATATCTATAGATACCATATCTATGGCCTGAAGTCGGAAAGCCTTCGCTGTCATCACTATTTTCTGTCGTGCGTAAATCAACTCTCCAGCTTCTGATGTCCGTGTTGCACCTAATGAATATAAAGTTCCATCTAATTATTCTGTTCCATTCTTAAAGGAACTAATTAACTGCATTGAAATAAAGTTGAAAATAAAAATATTGTATTGGATTGATCTGATGTGTTCTTTCAAATTACTGGTCAGATAATCTAAGATTAAAATTAACCATACATTATGCAAGAGCTTAATCTGCCTATTGCAGGTCTTTCTTTAGGCCTGAAATGTTATCTAAATTATTAATTAACTTATCCAGACCATAATCAACTCTCAATGTCATTGCTAGCCTACAATATTTACTGGATTAGGATCCCATTTTCTGCTCGACTTCCATTCATAATTTAATCAAGAAATGGATGATCGAGACTATGTTTTTTATCATACAGACTTTAGTAATGCTGATCGAGACTAGGCCGAAATTTCAATCTTCAGCAAATTGCCTTTACATTATCTAGTTTTTAACTATTATAGTGAGAACTGCCAGCTCTTTAGCTTATCTCGCATAATATATCTTTAATGAGAAGTCGGCTTGTTTACTAGTTTTAGTTTAAATCTTTTGTCAACGGTGGAGCCCACGATTTCAATCGCAGTACGGATCATGATAGTGGGAACCTACCATTAGGATTCTAGTATTATCTTACAAATCTTGTTATTGTTATTTGGGTTTATATTTCTTTAAAATCTTGTAAAAATTCAGTAGGCCCTACCTATATCTGCACAGAAATCATCAGAACCAAAAACTACGCCATCCAACAGATAAACACCTTCTTCTGAAAATCGTAATCCTGTTTTTATAATGTCCACCATGTTCATAACAGCTTGACCACTCTCAATAAACGTAATTAAATATGGCCGATAATTTGTTTCTTTTCTTCTATTTATTTCTCTCTTCATTATTTCTGTAAACTGTTTAAAAAAAAAATTAATATGAGATTTGTTTATAAAAAGGATAATAAAATTGTGTAACTGCTGTTTTTTGTATCAATGTGCAGTGGCGCTAAAAAAACAGTTAAAGATACATTAGATAACGCGCTGGCAGTTCTCACTATAATAGGTAAAAACCAGATAATTTAAAGACAATTTGCTGAAAATTTCAGTCAAATTGATCCACTCTTAACCGAGAATTTAGCGATTCAATTTTCGGTCTAGCCTCGATCATCATTACTAAAGTCGGTATGATAAAAAAACAGTCTCGGTTATCCATTTCATGATTTAATCATGAATGAAAATTGAGCAGCAAATCGGATCCTTATCCAGTAAATATCGCAGGCTAGCGATGACATCAAGAGTTTATTATGGTCTGGATAAGTTAATTAATGTCTAATTAATAATTTAGAAAACATTTTAGGCCTAAAGAAAGACCTGAAATAAGCAGATTTAGCCCTTTAACTAGTATAGTGTTACCGAATCTCCCATAATTTATCTTTAATTTATGTCTAACTAATAATTTAGAAAACATTTCATGCCTAAAGAAAGACCTGAACCAGGCAGATTTAGCTCTTGCATAACAGTTTAACTAAACAATAAATGTAAAAAAACATGTTTCTTTATAGTTTGTTGTCGCAAATTGTCACGACTGCCAAGTCCGAGTCGAGTCTTGAGTCGCACTAAATATTTTAAGTCGAATCAAGTTGTGAATGCAACTTAAGTTAGACTCGAGAGAGTCCATGTCGCAGGACTCAAGTTCCTACCCCTGGATTAATCCATTATATAACGTCCTTGACAACTGCCACTCACTGTGTGTAGGGCATAATATAATGCCTTGGAGGTATTTTCCCCAACCTATTCCTGGAACATAGTTCGTCACTTGGACGTTATATTACGTCCTGGACAACTGCCACTCACTGTGTGTAGGGTGTAATATAACGCCTTGGAGGTATTTTCCCCAACCTATTCTTAGAACATAGTACATAGTTCTTCGTCACTTCGTCAAATTAATTACACAGTAGGGGGTAGTTAACGTTTTAAAAAACGTCATGCTTAACGGGTTAATGACCAACTAGGTCATGTCCCAGCCGACTCAAATGAAACTTACGTAATTCAATTCATCTACGTTATCAACTTTAGGAATTAAAACAGTCTGTGGTAGTTTTTTAGCAGACAGAATTATTTTTAAATCTTCCTCTATGAGTCCACTGGAAACTGAATTAACACGGACAGCGCAATCTGTCGGACCAAAATCTATTTCCTCTAATATCTGACATATGTTCGCTCTTGCTTCTGCCTGTAAATTACAGAACAAAAAATAACATGAATGAACAAAACAAAAAAGGGAGCCGTTGTGGACCAGTGCGTAAGATGCTGACTCGCTAACCTGGAGGTCCCGTGTTGGATCCCAGGGTTGGTCAAGAATGTTCATTGGGATTTGCAGAAGTGGTTCCCCCATGTCAGTTTTAGGACAAGGGAGCTGGCAAGGAAAAAGTATAGTCATTCCGATGGGACAAAAAACGGAGGTCCAGTGTACACATTGCTGTGCATGTAAAAGATCCCTTGGTAGTTTGAATTTGATATAAGAGTAGGCCGTAGTGTCGCTTTCCAGGCAAAATTTCCTTCCTAGCACCACTGTCCAGGGCCTTTTACTCATTTAACATACCCATTTACACTAAATAGGACATATCTTTTTACCTACATAGACTTCAAACAACTTTATTTTTCTAATGCTTAAAAAAAATGTTCTAGAATTTAATTTGCAGAAGGAAAAAAGCTAATTAAGCCGCATCAATATCATCCCTATTGTAGCAGCCTAGCAAATATTCACTGCTGTCAGTGTGCCGTCTTTGTTCAGACCTTTGCTGGATATTGTCAAAATTTAATACCTTTTTACTTAAAGCCACACCATCTTCACATTCTAAAACAGCGCAATCTGTGTTCAGCTGTGGAATTTTCCGTAATTTCTTCAAATCATGCCCAGGAACATACATCAATGTTCTACGTGGGATATATTGTCTCTGAGCAGACATCGTTGAATAACATCCAACGGATTGTTTATTTAAAACATTTACGCTTAATCTTTTATTCCAAAATGTAGAAAATAATTTCCTGGAAGTCATATTTGAATAAGCAGGCTCCTACTGAATTATCTATGCGTTTGTAAATAAATATATGATCTGATCAATGTCCGTTCTTTTAAAATAACATCAGATTTTTCTACTGAACACGACCACCTGAAATTATAAAAAATAAGACACAATCTCAATAATTTCAAAAAAATACTAATGCTTGTTTTTAAAAAAGAACAACAGAAAGTTGGCAACATGACAAACTAAAAGTATTATTAATGTGGACGCAGACATTATAGTGAAAAATGGAAGGAAGAATTTAATGACTGGCCGATGGCCTTAGGCCATCCTAATTCCTATCGGTCATGTTAAACTGGGATTTTTTCTTTTTAAATTACTCTTTGGAATATTATCATCATGAAGTGTTAAAGTAATACTGTGTCTTTTAGTCTTGTTGTTCCTTTAAAGTTCAAATAACTAATTACTAATAAGAACATAAAAAAAGATAGGAGTTGCCTCCCTTTAATCTAAATGAATTTTTTTGCATTTAGGAAATCGAAGACTTCGATATTGACATTAAATGCCTCACTCACCGATAGATTACTTTGTAGTTTATGAGAGCTAAGAAATCATAAAACTGAATATTTACATACCTGTGTTTTAAACATTATGCAGATAGTCAGGTTGAATTTGCACACATCGTTCCGTCGAATCTTGACCTAGTGAAGTTAGTCGATCCTTAGTTGTTAGGCATTGGAATAATATATTCGGTGATAAATATTTCTTCAGAGGAGTAATACTAATTAAGAGACCTTATTTATCAATTTTATAGATGTATCATTTTGCTGTTGCTATATTCCTCATAATATGTTTAAAATCTGAGCAGACTTTTAGCTGATTTGCTGGAAAAACATGAATTTTTGGAGACTAAGGGGGTGATAACTCCAGGCAGATTGAACTGGAGTCAGACAGAAATTAATTACCAAAACATTCCTGCCTTTAAATGATTGATGTACATAGACAACTGGTTGAAATGAAATGAAATGAAAAAAATGGGGTTTAACATCCTACTGTTCTGCTCCTATGCTGGGCTAATGAAGACGGGCATATGCCATACAGTGTGCTATGAGGGAAATTTTGCCCGGGCAGCGGCACTATCGCCTACTCTTATATCGAATTCCAACTGCCAAGGGATATTTTACGTGCATTCCAATGTATACACGGGACCTCGGTTTTTCGTCTCATCCGAAGGACTAGACAACTGTGCTTGTCAGGCCCTTCGCTCTGCACCACTGACAAGGGGAAACCACGCTGGAAAATCTGGATGAACTTTCTCGGCCAGTGCAGGGATCGAACACCCGACCTCCAGGCTAGCGAGCCAGCGTCTTACCCGCTTAGCCACGTGATCCCCAGACAACTGGTTGAATCTAGGTCACAAGCCAAAATATTTTTAAAATATGTATTAAAAAACAAAACAAATTCCAGCAAAAATTCGATTGCTATGGTTCACTGAACATGAATAAGGTCATATCAAGACCAAATGGTAGCCCTTATATTTATATTTCACTACTTCACCTGCACACATCACAGGTGTCTTCAGCAGAACCCTTTGATTTATCACATACAAAAATGGTATCAAACTTTCGAATGGTTTACAGAATTTCTACATCCAGAGCTGGATTAAGGTCCTGGACTGTGAAGCAGGGTTGGATGGCCGAATTGTTAGCAAGTGCGCGCTGTATCATAAGGCCTGTCATTGAGTTAACTGGCGTGGTTTCGAATCCCCGGTTGTACGTGACAAGGAGTAGGGTCATCTGTCCAGCCTCATGGGTTTTCTCCGGGTCCTCTGGTTTCCTCCCACTACTAAAGACCCCTACGCGCAAGCGAAATAGTTAAATAAAAAATTGAACCATATATTAGTCCCGAAATGTCCTAGTTTGTGTCGAGTGGACATGAAACCCCATTTTTCTCTCTCTCTCCTGGACTGTAAGACTTCCAGATAGTCAGCTAATGTGTTATGAATCAAGAAACCTTCCACCTGTTGGTCGCCCCTGATATTCAGTACAGTGTTTATTTTTGCCGTACTATATTTATAAAGAGTAGGCCTATATTAAAGATGCATTATGTCAGATTTAGATACAGAGCTGGATGTTCTTGTTATAATACTATGTAGTTCAAAAATAGAGAATGGAAAATTAATATTGAAAAATTTCATTCAAATTACTGTTTTCTGAGCGGTGTTATGCGTTTTTGAAGTTTTGACAAGATGTAGCATAGGTTGTTTATTATTGTAGCAATGGTACTTGACAAACAAGACTAAGTCTTGATTAACCATTTTATCATTAAATCTCAAGGGTGTTCTAACTTCAAATCCATTTAAATCGTGCCCATCCGGTGGTCTAGAGAGTAGATTACAGGCTTGTCATGTGAACAAATGTCTAAATAATAGTTTTTATAACATTTGAAGTCAAAATAAACACCTGCAAATGGGCATATTTATAATCTTTGAATGGCATTTAGCGATTGAACATAATATAACACAACACAGTTCTATGGATAACAATCACTATATTATATGCACACGCTATTTCGACAAGAATTCACTGGTCGTTATCAAGCATACAAATTACAAATGAGAAAAAAAATTGTGACAGTGTTATATATATACTGATGTCCAAAAGAAAGTATACACACTAAAAGTATGACTAAGTTTTGTTTAGATTAAATACATTTGATAAAGCATTACTGAGTTTGTCTCTTGCGTCCAAACTCAACATTTCTAAGCAAAATAAAAATGTGAAACAAACTGACATTCTACCCAAATACCGTATACCATGGAAAAACGACTTTGGTTGATGCAGCACAAAATGCACAGTGTATACTTTCTTTTGGACATTAGTATAGATACATTGAACAATAATAACAGAAACCATAAGTTAACAATCATGAAACCCTAGCTTAATTGTTTACCAAAGTAAGTATACTTTAAAGTAGCCAAGTCTCTAACTCAATATCATCCAAAATCTTCGACATTGAAAACACTGATGTTGTAATATTACAGGGAAAAGATGGGCTTCTGATAGCCAATATTTAATACAAAATAAACATTTAACCATTGAAATACGAATCGTGTACCATAATGGGTTTCAGCGTCATTTGTAACAAGGGACTCGAAGAACGAGGCTAGACATATTCCACAAGTCGTATCAAACGGTGATGCCATATTCTTATCTGGAGAGCATGGGCAATAAATACTATCGATGTAGACTGTAATAACCAGACGCTAGAGATTGCCATTCTATTCAGACTTCTGGCGCACTTCGCCGAACATAACTGATTAGAAATTAGAGTAAAAACAGACACGATTGAATGTAAATCAGTTTATATACATTCATATTACATTATTATATACATTGCAACCCATTTGTGTCAATTTCTAGGTCTGAGATATTAGCAATTTAGCTCCTTTAATTATGATATCACATCGTATAGTAACTATAAGAATATTTAGCTTACAGAGTTAAGTGGATTTATCTCCCTTTCATTAATAATGTTCTCGTGCATACTTATATATCCTCCCTTTCAGGAGCCATGCTATTTTGTATAACGTTATATTTTATTATTGGACTGTTATTTGAGTTTTCTCTCTTTGTTTGATCTGTACCATGTCCCCTGTGGACCCATGAATGGAAATAGAGTTATTATTATTATTATTTTTATTTTTTAGCTTACATTATGCATCTTTAAATGAATCAATTTTTTAAATAAATAATTTAGAGTATATTTAGTATCTATAGTTTGATTCAGCATTTACAAATTGTCATTCAATCTCTGGAGGCCCTCCTTTAAACTAGCCAAGTCTCCAACTTAGTATCATCCAAAGTCTTTGACATTGAAAACATGAATTATTTCATTTAAATCGACATTGATGTTGTGACTTTACCAGGAAAAGATGAGCTTCTGATATCCAATATTTCAGACAAGATAAACATTTTACCATTGGTACATGAATAATGTCAAACGGTGACGCCATATTCTTCATACGCAATACATACTATCGGTGTAGACAGGAATAACCAGACAGGCCTTATGATACAGCGCGCACATGCTAACCATTCGGCCATCCACAGTTATTGCTTGAACTGTAGACAATTTCTTAATTGTAATGGTAATTATGATTCGTATTAAACATCATTTTGAAGTTATAACTAAACCCACTAGTTGTTCTGTTTTGTCTTTTATGCGAAAAGACAAAAATGTGACTTAGATCATTCTTCCCCTGGACTCTTCATTTTGTTTTCATAATTTATTGCATTTTCAAACATCTGTGATGGTATAAATTTTAAAAAAAAACCCCCAAAACACCCTGAATTTCTAGATTAAAGATTTTATTTATTTTTATTATAAAAGAAAACAAACAAATGATTTTATCATCATTGAAATTAAACCTGATCACCGGTATATTAAAATTTAATCAGTAAATTTCAGAATATAACAAATAAACAAACAATTTAGGTTATATATAATTATATAATTAATTATCATTTAGGTTATATATAATTACAAACAAACAATTTAGATTATTTATTTTGTTTACAGAATTACAAACAAACAATTTAGATTATATATTTTGGTTATAGAATTGTAAACAAACAATTTAGGTTATATAAAATTACAAACAAACCATTTAGGTTATATATAATGCTTACAGAATTACAAACAAACAATTTAGATTATATATATTTTGCTTACAGAATTACAAACAAACAATTTAGGTTATATATTTTGCTTATAAAATTACAAACAATTTAGGTTATATATTTTGCTTATAAAATTACAAACAATTTAGGTTATATATTTTGCTTATAGAATTAATTATCATTTTATCTATATAGCTGAATTCATTAACAACACAAAAATTTGTATATGGATAAAATTAGACATTTCAGCAGGACAAAAAAATAAATGATACATGAAGAATGTTTGAAAGAGATGAAGGTTATATTCTCCTATCATTTGTTGTCTCTTAAAATATACAATACTGTATTCAAGACCAAAACAAAAACATAATTGATATGGAGAGCAAGAGAAATGGGGTTTAATGTCAACTCGGCACAACTAGGTCATTTTGGGACTAGCAAATGGTTCAATTTTATTTCAATAATTTGTTTGCGCGTAGGGGTCTTTATCAGTGGGAGGAAACCGGAGGAACCGGAGAAAAACCCACAAGGTTGGACCGGCGTTCCTACTCTTTGTCACTGGAAGCTAAGAACAATCCATTTAATTCAATGTTTCATATTCTCCCATAATTGTCTGAGAATCCACCATTGTCTGAGAATCCAACATCCATATACATAGTAACAACACTCTTTCAATCAATTATAATCAATTTTTTCAATTTTTTAAGATTAGTATAAAATCTTATGCTTGGTTATCAGACTGAATTCTTATCAGGGCCCTCGATTCAAAATCATCCCAGACGGACATTTTACCCCTTGTTACAGTTATAGCTTTCAATGTGTCTGGACATGTTTAATTTAATGAAATACGAAATAAACCCGTTTTCCCAAGAAAATATAAATTTTTAATTTGTGACTATTAAAATTTTATGGCACCAAATAATATGACTGACAATTGGTATTTGTTAGCCAGACTCTGATTGGCTAAATTGGATCAACTGAGCGCCCTGATTCCAGTTGTTTTAGTTGGTATGTAATCCTCCATCAACAGGAAGTTGTACACCATTTAACATGGAGGCTTTATCACTCAATAAAAACAACACAGCATTAACCACCTCTTCTATTTCTGTAAAATAAAACAAAATAAACAAAATATTATAATTTAAATTCATCAAATTATGAAGATGGACATACAGTGTGCTATGAGTGAAATTTTGCCTCGACGGCGGCACTATGGCTTACTCTTACTTTGCATTCCAACTGTCAATGGATCTTTTATGTGCACACCAATGTGTACACAGGACCTCAATTTTTCGTCCCATTCGAATGACTATACATTGTCTCATGCCAAGCCCTCCCTCCTGCTTGTTAAACCAAACAATAAGACAATAGCAGGAACAAGAGCCTTTAGCTACGTTGCTCCTGAATTATGGAATAATTTGAGTGAATCCCTGATAAATGCATCATCATTAGCTACTTTTCTACTTTTAAAACCGCCCTTTTCCTGGGTGTTCAATCGCTTGTCTCTGTGCGTAAAATGTGTTATGCTTGTGTTTATTTATTATTTCTACTTTCAATTTTACAAATTGTGTTTGTAAAGCACCACTGAGCAACACTTGTGTTGGATATTCGGCACCATATAAATGATAAATTATCATTATTATTGATATACTCACCTACAAACCGTCCAAGTGGTATTCTATCCAACACAGGTTGACATTTTTTAGGATCACTCCAGGCATATCTACCCATATCGGTCATAGTCACAGTAGGATTTACAGAATTCACACGAATCTGAAAACAATAGAAATTTTTTTTTTATAGAAATGTGAAGATGTATAGGTTAAAAGATAGGTTGCCAGGCAACAAAAAATACAACCACAGCACCTAAATCGTCCGAGCGGTTATCGCATATTTATTCTTTTGTAGGTAATTGGAGGCATTTACAAGATCATTTCATACAGATCAGATTATAATTTTCGTTGTTTGAGGGTTTACAAGGTTCTTCAAACTGAAACAAGGGCCTTAACTCTGGAAGTAATTGACACTTTTAAGGATCACTCCAGGCATATCTACCCATATTGATCATAGTCACAGTAGGATTTACACAATTGACACAAATTTGAAATTTATATTTGTACATTCAGCCAACGTAGATTAATTTACTCCCCGGCGATCCAACCTTCGTTCCTCAAGTAGAGCGATAAGCAATTGGATTGGTCGAGACTTTGAAACGCAATATCTCTCCTTCTAACGGAAGTAGAATATTCAAACTTGGTGTAGGTGTTCATTAGGTGAATGTCTTGATGGAGTTCGAAGATGAGAATTTTCTGCTTACAATAAGCAGAGATAAGCTATTTGATTGGTTGATGCTTTGGGACTCGATAACTTTGGTTCTATTTAAGTGAGAGCGATGAAACTTGGTGTATAGTTTTGTCACACCAATACCTTGACTAAGTTCGATGATGAGAATTTTTCAGCTTAGACTAAGTAGCGATAAGCTATTTAATTGGTCAAAAAGATAAAAGTGGAATTAATCAATACATGTATGTATCATCTATTTATTTTGGGATTTCGGCGGGGGACATAACATTTGAAGCTCTTAAACATACATTATGCAAGAGCTAAATCTGTCTATTGCAGGTCTTTCTTAAGACATAAAATGTTATCTAAATTATTAATTAGACATTAATTAACCTATCCAGACCATAATCAACTCTAGATGGCATTGCTAGCCTGCGATCTTTATTGGATTATGAGCCGATTTACGGCATAACTTTCCTTCACGATTTAACGATTAAATGGATAATCGAGACTATGCTGTTTATCGTACTGACTTTAGAAATGATGATCGAGGCTAGGCGGAAATTTCAATCGCTTAGTTATCGGTTCATAGTGGATCAATTTGAATGAAATTTTCAGCAAATTCCCTTTACATTATCTAGTTTTTAACTATTATACTGAGAACTGCCAACTCGTTATCGAATCTCCTATAATGTATCTTTAAGTGAGAGTGTTGAAACTTGGTGTATAGTTTTGTCACACCAATACTTTGACTAAGTTTGATGGTGAAAATTTTCTGCTTAGACTAAGTAGCGATAAGCTATTTGATTGATCAAAAAGATAAAAGTGCAATTAATCAATATGTATCATCTATTTATTTTGGGATTTCGGCGGGGGACGTGAGTCTCACTGTGGGGTCACCCCACTATGCCAGTTTTTAATCCCTGAACAGTTAATGATTATCGGATTATAATTAACACCTTAATCAAGTGGGCCAGTTTCATGGTGTAGTTATCATTTAAACATTTCCTTTAATCATTTTCGATTCACTTACAAACATTTTCCATTCACTTACAAACATTTTCCATTCACTTACAAACATTTTCCTATAAAATATACATTTTCAATAAATCTAAAATTAATTTTACAAGCCTACTAAGTTCTCTACAACATGAAACTGGCCCACTTGATTAAGGTGTTAATTATAATCCGATAATCATTAACCGTTCAGGGATTAAAAACTGGCATAGTGGGGTGACCCCGATTTAATTAAGAGTTTCAAATGTTGTATAAACAAGCCAACAGTGAGGATTTACCCCCACTATGCCAGTTCCTTTGTTAAAGGATTAATTAATCCCTGGCATAGTGGGGGTAAATCAATAAATCATTCAATAGGTCGATTAAGCTCTTACATAATGCATCATTAGGGCATTTATAGGTTATACAAAGAAGTTTAAAATCGATTCTGTTATTGACTGGAAGCCAATCTAGATCTGTGAGAAGAATGGATGTGACATAGTGAGTTCAAGTTGAAGGGGAAACAAAAGTACATAAACATTGATTGGAAAACATATGAAATCACTTTTTCAACGAACCCAAGTTAATGGCGCCATCTAGTAGCAAATTATATAAGGTTTCTGTGGAATAATCAATTTCAGGTACAAACGATCGGAGTCACTAAGAACCAATGCCCTTCTGAAATGGCCTCCCAGACATATACAAGTTCATTGTATTTATTTGACCTTAATTTGGCTAAAAAGTGGAAGTCAGTTGTTGTACTGGTAATTAGGATTCGTATGTTTAAAAACATCATTTTGAAGTTGTGATTAAACCCACTCATTGTTCTGTTCGCGTCAAGCATTCTCATCCAAAAGTGTGTTTTACCTTTTATGCAAAAAGACAAAAATGTGACTAGATCGTTCTTCCGCTGGACTCTTCATATATTTCTAAGCAAAAACAGTAGCCTATCTTTTGAGAAATATTTTAGACATCACTGAGATATAAATGCTTGACAAATTGTACAAACTTTTTAATGGTTTTAAATGAGGTTAAGGAATACTCATGCAAAATGCACAGTACATAGACTGTAGCAACAAAATACACAGTACACAGACTGTAGCAACAAAATACACAGTACAGCACTGACTGTAGCAACAACAACCACCTTTACAATCAAATGAAATGAAATGGGGTTTAATGATTAACGTTGCTAGTCTGGAGGTCGGGTGTTCGACTGTTCGATCCCTGCCTGCATTGGCTGAGAAGTTCATCCAGATTTTCCGGCTTGGTTCCCCCCTTGTCAGTGATGCAGGGCGAGGGGTCTGACAAGGACAGCTGTCTAGTCGTTCGGATGGGATGCGAAGCCAAGGTCCTGTGTATACATTGGCATGCAGGTAAAAGATCCCTTGTTAGTTGGAATCCAATTTAAGAGTAGGCTATAGTGCCGCTGCTCGGGCAAAATTTCCCCTCATAGCACACGGTATAGCGTATGCCCGTCTTCATTAGCCCAGTCGGAGCAGTACAGTAGGACGTGAAACCCTATTTCATTTCATTTCATTACAAAATCAATATCGTTAAATTAACAATGAACAATATTGATAACCATTTGAACTATGGCATTCAAGCAAAGCAAGATTCTTCATGTTAAATTTCTGTCAGGAAATATTATTTCCCCAGATAATCACAAACATTTCCTCGTTCAGTAATTGTTATAATTTCACCCAATTTTACATAGTTTAATGTCTCTCCCTTCCTTTTTTAGTTGAAGTGTCAGGCAAACTGTCGATTATCGGATCAAACTTCCATAATATTTTGTGATAAGAACATGCAAATCAACCTTGTGTTAATTACAACTGTAATGTCTCATGGGCGACAACAATATGAAGTGAGAGGGTTTTTTTTCGTTATTGTTAAAAAGTTGTTTTTTTTGTATGACATTTTTGACCTTGTGTAAATACCAACTGCGTTGTTTTTGGTTTTTTTGTTATTGTTAAAAAATTGTTATTTTTGTATGACATTTTCGGCTTTGCGTTAATAACAATCTAAATTGAGGGAGGGGGTGTCGTTATTGTTAAAAGGTTGTTGTTTTTGTACGACATTTTCATGTTTTGTTATGATATAAAGCGAGACAGTTATATGAATGAAGGTGGGTTTTTTTTTGTCATAGATTGAATAAAAATGTAAAATATAAAGATTGAATCGTACTAGTATTACACAATGTTTTTCTCTGGGTTATTTTCCTGATTGGTTGTTTTTCAATTTTGGGGGAAGTCTGTATCACTACAGGCCCGGGACTGTACAACCCAGTAGACACTTACGGCTCGTCCTTTCACTTAATCTGATATGTACGTTTGCATGGACCTTATGTATTATAAGGTCCATGACGTTTGTTTATGATTTCTGCGTATTGTGTCTTGTCCGTAGATTTGTTTTGTGTATTTGTGAGAGAGAGAGAGAGAAATGGGGTTTAACGTCCACTCGACACAAACTAGGTCATTTCGGGAACAACACATGGTTCAATTTTATTTCATTATTTCGCTTGCGCGTAGGGGTCTTTAGAAGTGGGAGGAAACCGGAGGACCTGGAGAAAACCCACGAGGTTGGACAGGTGACCCTACTCCTTGTCACGTACAACCGGGGATTCGAAACCACTCCAGTTGACTCAATGACAGACTTTATGATACAGCACGCACATGCTAACCATTCGGCCATCCAACCCCCCTTGTGTAATTGTGTGTGGTGCAGTCCCCCTGCACTTACTAATAGACATTGTTATTCATCATATTTATCTTAAAGGGGCATTAGCTGAAATTTCTCGCTATAATAGTTAAAAAATAGATAATGAAAACTAAATATGCTGAAAATTTCAGTCAAATTGCTTCACTCTGAACCGAGATATTAGCCATTGAATTTTAGGCTAGCCTCAGTTGTCATTACTGATGTTAGTACAGTATGATAACAAACAAAGTCTTGATTATCCATTTTTACGTTAAATTATCCATCACAAAATGTATCGAAATCCAGTAAATATCGCAGGCTAGCAATGGCATCGAGAGTTGATTATGGTCTGGATAAGTTAATTAATGTCCAATTAATAATTTAGATAACATTTTGGGCCTAAAGAAAGACCTGCAATAGGCAGATTAGCTCTTGCATTTTGTATGTTTAAAGGAATGTAAAGGAAACTCGATATTAGGGTCGCATAAATTTGAGTCTGTTTTTCCCTCATATCGCTACCTCCTACTCTAATTTCAAAATCCAACCGTCAAGGATTCTTTTATGTGCAATTTAAATGAGTTACCTCACCCTACCTATCACTTCTAAAAGGCTCACGGGTGGGGGGGGGGTAGATGGCTGAATGGTTAGCGTGCGTGCTGTATCATAAAGTCTGTCATTGAGTCAACTGGCATGGTTTCGATTCCCCTACAAGGAGTAGAGTTGCCTGTCCAACCTCGTGGAATTTCTCCGGATCCTCTAGTTTCCTCCCAATGCTGATGACCCTTACGCGCAAG